TCGCCAGCGGTGAATCCCATTCGGTGAGGATATTCACTGCCCTGCTCTCACCCTGTGCTACCAGATAGAACTGAGGTGTTGTCAAACAGCGGCGCCATATGGGGAGAGCAGAGCGGTGATCGCTGAAGTTAAAAAAGCTGAAGTCGTCCATGAAATCAAAACACGACAACCAGTCAGGGACGGGTGGGAGGGAAAGCTTTCTTTGTCAAAATGGAACACAGACAAAATAATGTTAACAAATGTAGAAATAATGAATGCTCTGAAGATGTTTTTCTGTGGCTTTAAAAAAAGTCTTTTTAATTTAGCCTCAGAAGGTCTGTTCGTCAACCTCCTTTACCTCCAGCAAAGACCCAAGTCTATCACTGCATACTCCCCAGCTTGCAGCATGCTTTCTGCGTGGGTAGATTTACAAGTGGTTCAGCTCGCCCGGAGCTTCAACCTTTAAACTGCCTCAGTATTCAGTCAAGATGTGGTAGTTTGTAGGAGAGTTGCGGTCAGTTGGATAGAGCTTGGGTATATTCTAAGAATATATTTGTTGGAAAAATAACTAACCTTTTAGGATAAAACTATTTTGCTTAGCCTAAACAATGGAATGATCAGAGTGTAAGCAAGCCACTGGTTACAGTTGTAACGCAAGTAATAAATACTATTGCTTCCTAGCTTGCAGTTACCATTGCTAGGGGTGTCAGCTGTAAGACATTGACCCACAATCTTGAGGTTGTTGGTTTGCGACCCACCTTAGACTTTTAAAAGTTGCTGTGTGACTAATTTGTATTGATGTGCCCTTTTACAAATATAGATTGGGTAAAAACACTGCCAAATTAGTTTGGTCAGTTTAGCCAAAAGATTGGTTGAACACATAAATTCCAACCTGAATAAAACCAAAAACTGTGGATAAACTATTATTTTTGAATAAAAAGTGCAGTTTCACTGTCTGCTTGAGCTTATTTCAATAAAATGGCAGAAAAACAGTGTACCTTAAATGATTTTTGTCTTCTGAGACATTTTATACACAAAAAAACTTACAAAAGATTTTATTATACACACCAGTCATTAACTATTTCAAAGGAACTTAAATGGAAAAGAAAACAAGAAAAAAACCACAAATTATATTACTAACTGTAGTTATGCACTCGACCAGTAGGTGGTGACATGTCCATCTGAAGCTTCATGAATTCTGGGGATCGTTGAAGCAAACGGTTCAATGCCTCATGAGGCTTCATCTCACCATCTCTATCTGGCAATGGTGAATGGGAGCAAGCAGATGAAATAGAGGCAGGAGCAGGTGGATAAGATGAACAGTGTTTACAAACTGAACAGAGCAAGGTAGGTAAATGGAATGAACCATTAAGCCAGTAATCAGTACCAAGATCATGACAGAAACAACAGTTACATGATCTTTTATCTATTTATTTATTTCATTTTTATAAATTACCATGTTAACTCCTTAAACCTGCACTAATCAAGCACTAACCATATGCAGACGGAGTTCTAAATACATGGATTACATTAAACAGAAAGTCTGGCACCTGAAAATATTAAACTATGAATCCAACCAATAGTTTTCTGATTTGACTGGAAACCCTTTAATAACATCAAAGTGTTGTTGCCCATCCAACATTTACAGAAAGTGTTGTTTTTCTTATAATCAAAAGATTCTCATGCAGTCTTAAAAGTTTGGAGTTTGATTTGCCATTGTGGATTAAACAACTGACCATGTCCAGGAACCCTTGACCTCAATTACTTTTGTTTGTTTTCCTTACACTTTTGGTTTTTCTTTGCAGCAGACAGAGAGAGATAATACTGACACATAGATGAGATATGGCATGCAACAAAGGGTCTTCAAGTCTGGACTTCAACTCTGCAAATGCTGTGTGGAGGGCTAGTTTCTGCATATTGCCATGTGCTCTAAGCCTTGCAGCCATAATTAAGGCTGTTTTGTGTCTAAGGTAGACCAGAAAAAGACCCAGGACAGCTCTGGGGGAAACTGCAGATACCCAACAGGTAGAATGTCAGAAATACAATCTACAAATCTGATCTTTCTGAAGAGCTGTTTACAGTTTTCCTCAAGCAATGTGGGGCAAGGTGCACAGATTAGTTGACAAAAAATAAGCTTTGTGAAAATTAATTAGAAATACCTGATTTGCAACTAAACCTAACATGAATTAAGTTTACCAAAGGTTGACTCCGGAAAGCTACAAAGGCATATTTCATTTCTGAAAACATTATCATTACATGTATGACATTTGGTTTATCTATGAACTATTTACATGTTTACAAAGTTTGGGTTGTACTCAGCTGTTCTGAAACTTTTTTTTTGGAAAAATTGTCCCAGACATGTAACCTAAAGGGAAATTAATGTTATAAAAGCTACATACCTCACTGATTGTAAAATAGTCTAAGCTACTAGACTAAAGAAACTTAATTCTTGGTTTGGCACTATTCCTAACTCAAGTAAGGCATCAGGGTAACATTTTCAGCATGGTAGGGGACTCTTTCACACTTGTTCCAGTGTTATCTAATAATAATGAATAGCTTTAGTAGTGTAGAAAGGAAGTTATTTTTATGAACACTTTTTCTATCTATCTGCCATAACTGAGACAGTATCTTCTAGACCCACATTGCTTTGTCTCCTCTCAGCGGTGGCTCTGTCAGGTTGGAGTTCATGATGGCCTTCCCACAAAGAGCAGCTTTTAACCCCCTACCAGGTCTCCCAATTTCATGATGGTGTGATCACTCCAAAGAGGGACAGGGATTAGGAAAAACCTGTGGTCTGTAAATCAGGCAGGAGTTGAGAGGAAGGCCTCAGAAATATGTGTCCAACAGGCACCATACCCTTAGAGTTCAATGTACACATTATCTCGCACAGCAGTTAGGTTCTAAGCTGGCCTCTCCAAGCCAGATGGCCTCAACAGTCCTCAACAAAACATTGGAAAGAGGAGAACAAATTAAATCTCAAGACCCAGTTTGAACAAAATGTAATCCATCTAAGCCGGTGTTAGGAAGGTAAAAGATTTTGGCCACGGCAATAAGATAATGAGAAACACTCTCTTGTGGGGATTGCAGCCCCCCACCTCAGCCCCTCTTTGCTTAACCCAATCAATCTCACCAATCAACCACAAACCAGTTAAAGTAAAGCCCTTATGTTTCCATTTGGATTTGTTTTCAGAAGCATAAATTAAGGCTGCCTGGGAAAGATGAAACAAAAAATAATCACGCCGTGGGGCAGATCTCATCTGGTGCTGGGAACAGTTGGTATGAATTTACGAATTGTGATTAAGGAGTTTGGGTGATGCTGTTTTTAACCCATAGTTACAAAAGTAGAAGTAAATATAGTCATACCATTGAGAGTTATACATTTTTCAAGTTACTACCACAAAGTGATTTTTTGATGTGATTGATCATCATAAAGTAGCTCATAACTGTGAGCATGAAGAAAATTGTATTCCTAAAAACCCTGTTTGATTCCTTCAAATAAAATCCATAGGAAAATATTGCTTTTAGATGTACAGTATTGTATGCAGTCTGTGTTTGCTATTCAAAAAACAAAATATAAACGCACTCCACATTTTGCATTTTAATTGGTGAAATATGATGAGGGCCTGTGTATCAGGACGCTTTTAAATGTGCATGAAAAGGTCAGAATCCATCTTCTTATATATATATATATATATATATATATATATATATATATATATATATATATATATATATATATATATATATATATATATATATATATATATATATATATATATATATATATAAACTGTGCTGTTCAGCGGTCGATTATTGAATTTCAACTCTTGACCATGAGTTTGACCTCAGCTTTCTCTATTGAATTTACTGAGACGGGTGAGATTAAAACAGAGCAGGAGTTTGATTCCAGTCTCTTAAAGAAATTTCACAGCTTGTTGAACAGCTTCCTATGTTGGTTACTGCTTCATCAAAACACACATGCACACCTTTTTGGACACTAATTGAACTCCCCATATATACAATTACTGGACTTTATCCATGTTGTGTTACTTTTCCATTAAAGTCCTCCTGATGGAATTCCAGCGGACCAGAAACTTTATAAGTTCACATTTCTACAAATCTCTAGTGTGCCTCACATTACCACATTTTGTTATTAGGGTGTGCCATTTGTTGAGCTAATTACACCATTGTAACCTGCTAAGCTGGGTCAGAGCTAATATAAGGAAGAATAATGAAATAAAACCCAAGAGGTTTCAGTGAGCATCAGTCCTGACATTAGAGCTTCCATAGTTGGCTTTTTGTCCCTCTGTGGTTCAGCAGACTGGACCTTTGCTCATTATGGTCCAAACGCTGGTCTGTTAGCTGGAAAATGAAGCAGTTTTCTGCAGATGGTCTGTGTGAAAGCTAATGCTGTCTGACTCTTTGCATACTTTTTTATGTTTCCCCTCAGGCAGGCTGCTCTTTCTGCAATAATAGATAGAGATTGTTGCTGCATTCTTCAACACATTCAGTTATTATTATCAGAAAAATGCAGCCCCAGATGAAAACATTGCAGAGATTAAATCGGCAAAAGCTTTGATGTTAACGTTCATGTTGTTTTCAGCGCTGGCTCGCTTTTGTATTGAATTCCTGTTTTCACAGCAAGGCTGAACATCTGCATGTATTATTAAATCCACAAGCCCCTGTGGTTTATTTTCTATTTCTCCTTTTTTGAATAAGAAAAAAAAAAGAAAGAAAAACCTTTGTAAAGTTCACCTCAGCCAGCAACAAAATATCCTAAAGGAAAACATATGATGGCAGGAAATATCTGTATTTTTAAGCAGATTTTGAATGGGCTCACAGCATAGATATTTTTTTTGATAAAAAAAAATGGATAGTGCAGCACATCTTGTTCCGCTAGGCTTAGCAGAGAGCAGCTCCCGGTCACCAGCGATTTGTTATGTTTGGAGTTTGCCTTATTGACTGTCAGTGTATGCGTGGGTGGACTCATGGAGGCTTCTCCATCTGTGCTGTCTTCACAGGTAGAGCATCTTCGGCCGTACCCAGAAATGAACTGAGGACACAAGGGACAGAACGCTTTGGTTGATAAAGTCCTAAATCTTGCAGTGAAACCATGAGGTCACAAAGCCCAGGATTGGCTACCACGCTGATGCTGTCGGTGATCACCTGTATTTGTGCCTTTCATACAGCTACAGCCATTGACATTCCTCTTGAGGGTGAGTCCAGACCATACAGTGTTTTAGTAATTTTAGTTTATAAAAGTATGTAGCATAGGTGCAGTTCTGATGAGAAATTCACAATAACTCTTCAAGGGATGAATGGGAAATTCAGATGTATTTAAAAAAATGTTTTAAAGTAATGTTCAGCTTTCTCTTTCTTGTTTGTTTCTCTGATTCCTACAGGATTAAAATAATGCACACATCTAAACTAATACATAGGAACCTGTCTACCGGTCTAGTAGATATTTCCATTTTATCACATTATTCTTCTAGCATTATAATGCCTGAATATTTGACCGCTCCTACTGGCAGAATTTGACAAATTTATCTGAACTAGTTGATTTCCCAGCTTTTGAGCATAAGCCTGTCTTTTCTTTGGCTAAGGTTGGAAGGAACCAGTGAGCTAAAAAAATAGTATTTTTATTGTTTTTATTTTATCTTCTGGGTAAAGAAGGGAAATTATTGGGCAACCTTAAATATAACAAAAAAGATTTCCAGTTGAGCTTTTATTTCTCACAAAAATATTATTTTTAGAGGGATACATTTATATGTTCCAAATGTATAAAATTAAATGAAACACATCCGGTGTGCTTCTCATGACCAATACCCATTATTTGACATTAGTCTTACCGACCCAATATATGCTGCCATCTTTTGGGCCCGATTCTTAAAGCTGATATCTTGCTTTTTCCACCTGAGTTTCCATGGCAAAAAATTAAACAATGATGAATGCCTGTCCTTCACATGATGTCATGGCATGGTAGCTGAATGTACTTATGGAGTCAACTTATTCACGTATCAGCCGATACAAGAAAAGCCTAATATTGGCACAAAAAAAATCTATCGAGACAGATATCAAACTATAACACCTTTTTCATCAGATAATATTTTTTACTGCTAACAACACTATGTGTACTTTTTAAGTTTTACAGAATACAAATAAATGAGTAAAATTTGTTTTCTAGAATCTTTCTAGCTTTTACTGGAAATATTTTTTTATTAAGATGAATGCTGAGTAATCATGTTATGAGATGAGCAGAGACATGTGTCGAGTACTGGAGGGGGTGTTTTAGTGAAGCGCATATCGAGGCTTGCTTCCTTTGGAGGAGATGCCAAAATAGACGACTTCCGAAGCCTCGCTACCCCACCATACCACATGACTGTTTTGGAAGTGGTTCAGCTCGCCCAGATCTTCCGCGGGTGTAGGACTTTGTTGGAGTTTGGATATATTCTAAGAATAGATTGGTTGGAAAAACAACCAATCTACTTGGTTAAAACTAGTTTGGTTAGATGAAACAATGTAATGATCAAAATTTGAGCTAGCCACTTGTCACAGATATAATGGTTTTTAAGTAGTAAGTAGCTTTCCAATGAACTGTCACCTTGCTATTAGTGTCAGCAATAAGAGATGTCCTTCCACTCTTAAGGTTGATGGTTCAAGAATCACCTCAGACTTTTGAAAGTTGTGATAAAACTAAGTATTGTGACTAATGTGTATTGGTTTGCCCATGTACAACTATAGATTGGGTAAAACCACTACCAAATTAGATTGGTTGGTTTAACCAAAAAAATTGGTTGAACACATAACTTCCAACCCGATTAATAGGGGTGTGCATTGGCACTGCCCTCACGATTCGATTCGATTACGATTCACCAGGTAACGATTCGATTCAATTCGATTCTACAATGCATTGCGATGCATCAAAATCCTATTGACTTCATAATATCCGAAGTGTGCCCAGATATCCGCTTTCCAAGCTTTTGGTGCGTTTTTAATTAGGCGTACCCGTCTATCGCGGTCATCTCCCTCCGCCTCAGCCATCTTGATTGTTGTTGGTATACCCCCGCAAGTAATTGACACTTCACAACTTGTCCATTTGAGGCCAGAAAATAAACAGTGACATAATCGATTATGGCACGTTGCCGCATCGATGCTGAATCGTGCTTCCCCCTCATTGCAATGCATCGCTGAATCGATTATTGTTGACACCCCTACCGATTAAAACCAAAAATTGAGGAAAAACTATTATGTTTAAATAAAATCACTAACACCGTTCATTTTGCTCATTATTGTCCAAATTGCACAAGCACTTTCACTGTTTTCTTGAGCTTATTTCACTAAAATGGCAGAAAAACAGTGTACCTTAAATTATTTTTCTCTTCTAAGAAAATTTAGACACAAAAAACTTACTAAAGCTTTTATTATACAGACCAATCATTAACCATTTCAAAGGAACTTAGATGGGAAAAAAGAAAACAATTGTGAAAAATCACAGATTATATTAATAACTGTAGTTCTGCAGAGAGTTACACAAAAAATATAACACTGCTTAAATATATCACAAAATGGAAAAGAAACCAATGACATAAAATGTCATAAGTGTAACTGAAAAGTCCACAAAGGGCAGAATCATGAAAACCTTGCCTATAACATGACTGTAAGGAAGTAGTACATTCAAATTATTGCTGCAGACAAAAAAAAATAAAAACTGCTTTTTCCTGGCAACAGAACCAGAGCCTCCTGCCAGTTTTTGCTCTCCTGACAGCTCGTGAGTAATTTGTAGAGTAGGGTATGTTGGATGATGGTTAGAAAAGAAGACATCAGCAGATTCAAATCAATCTAGGGGCCTAATTTATTAAATCACACGTAGGACAGATTTTGAAAGCACACAGGTGCACAAAATGTCAAGGACATACCTCACTAAAAATAACAAGATTTATTACCAAAGCATGTGCATACATATCTGGAGTTATTAATGTTTTCCCAGTAATATGCTAACGTAGATCAGCATTACATCCTACTCTCGACAAGCCCAATTTTAATTAAAGGTGGTTTCCTGAAAATGCCTCATAAATCTTGAAGTAAATTGGGTTATCTCTATGATGGGAGCGTCTTGATGGTAAATTATGACAAGAAAACAAGAAGAAGCCTTGAATCATGCTCCCAAACAAGAAGCATGATGGTGAACCAAAATATTGTCTATTTTTGATCACTCTGGAAATTTTACATAAGTAAAGATTGTTCATGTAGCTTTCTAGCAGCAACATATAACAGATTTACTTGCAACAAACTGGCTATCGCAGGATTTGTTTTCTGGGGGAATTTTATTTCTTCCAGTTTGACAGATATTATCCAGTTTCTTCCTCATACATTAAAGATTTCTGTTGAATAAAATGTTGGGTTCAAAAATGTAGGTTTGTAAAAGAGAAACTGAGTCTACACAGAAGGGGGATTTTTAATGGCTTCTGCAGAAGGAGAGAGTTACATTCAGCTCACTACTCTCTCACTGACTTCCTCTGCAAAGCCTTTTTATTAGCAGATCATAACACATGGGGTGGGTTACAAAATAGTGTTCTTCTGACAAGGCAATTGATCAGGTCATAGGACAAAATGCTCCTCTGATTGAATCACAGAACAAAGCTGCTGTGCTTTAAAACATATATGAAGAGAAAAAAATGAAATTGTCAAGAGCTGTTTTAAACAAAATTTATTTTTGTTTACACTGGTGTATACAAAATAACAAAAACAAATTGTCTTAGTCTAACTCTAAGTCTAAAATCTTTGTTTCAATTAAATTGTGATCAAATTTGACCCTTTACCTTAGTAAAACCCTTAAAAGAAATGATTTGCTTCACCCTGTGGGTAAATTTCCATCTATAGAATTTTATAAATAATTTTGTGATATGGCAAATAGATGGAAAGGGTGTAAAAAATAAAAAGAGGGTTTAATGAAAGAAGCCAATATTCCATGTGCCTAGGTGCAGAAAAGTAGTTTGTTTTTTGAATATTGGCCCACATTTGTTTTATTTTTAGTCTTCTTCAGCAGAAAATATAGCAGCTAAAAGAAACAGTTCTCTTTAAAGAGTATGCATTAAAGCCCTGATGTACAGATTTCTTCAGCCGTAATTTAAAAGAGGTTTGGTTTAATTGAAGTTATATTGGGTTGTTTACATGTTTCCTTTATTTTATGAGCATTTTATGAGCATCACACATTCCCTCTTTTTTTCTCTTCTTTTGTGTTTGTCTCGGTTATAACTAAGCCTGTTGTAATAAGCAATAATCTATTAATCTCATAATGGCACCATAAAGTAATAATTGAACTTTATGGATCTCACACTGAAATTTACCCCTGTATTTAACCCAGTCCCTTGTGGAGCAGTTGGCTGCCATTGTGCGGCACTCAGGGAGCAGTGTGGGTTTGAGTTTCTTGATCAGGGAGTGCAGGCTGTGGGGATCGAACCGGGTACTTTCAACCTTGTCAGAACACAAGCACAATGCTCTAACCACTAGCCCAACAGTCTCACAACACTATGATTGTATAATGAATTTAAATAAACATGATAATTTCTGTTTCTGTTTGCACACTTTTCCATTTGTTTTCTGTGTCTCACTCTCTTTACTACTAAAAAGAGTGGATGGTAGAAGGTTTCACCATGGCCAGATTCTCAAGAGCGCTTTTCAGCATAATGGTCCATTATACTGAAAGTTGTAAAAATGGTACGGGATCGGATGTTAAACTGAATTTTAATGACCCTGATGACTGAAGAAACTGTGTTTTTAAGACACATTTACCTCCTTATTTGAACATAAAGGCAAAAAAGCTGTCCTCAAGGCAAAGATATAAGTGAATGTCATATTCCCTTCACACTTAATACTCAGACTCAAACTTTAGCAGAGGTACATGCATTTGTAGGCACAAAACATGCTCCTGCTAGCAGACAGAGAGCACCACCTATGAAGCCAGTATTAGAGTGGCCATCAGGAGGCTCAAAACGATTACCCAAATGGCTGATTTGTCAAGGGGCAGCAACAATGTTCATTAAACCGTGTCACCCAGTATGTTGCATTTTTTAGCAAAAAATAGCAATTCAATCAAGCAAAACAGCAAATATGTATCTGTTCCTAAACCATAATCATTCAGTGCAGATTTCACAGCTGGAAAAAAAATACAACTGATAGTGCTGTTTCTGTCTTCCTAAAAGTAAACAATCCACAGAGTATTGAAACAAATCATGCTCTTGTTCTAGTGCCCGTTCTCGTGGGCCAGTGGAGAGAGGGTTTTTTAACATTTCGTAGTATTTCGGATTTCCCGATCCTGATCTGACGCTTACCCACTGTGCGTGCCCTGTTCCTGTCTTGGCTCAGTGGACAGAGTGTTTTTTAGTGCTCCATAGTGTTCCCGATTTCTCGACTTTCCTGCCTCTAAACCACTGAGCTTGCCTGTTCCCGCCTGAATGTTTTGCCTGAACTATCTGTGGACTCCTGGAACCCTGAATCAGCTTGTTCCAGTTCTCATCGATATCCCTGACTGGGCTCCAGACTCCTGGACCTGTGAGCCTTCCTATTCGATCTGTTTCACTGTGTTTCTTTTAAACCAGAGTTTCTAGGGATGGGCAGTGCCCCGCGCTAGCCGCAGCTACGAAGGATTCACTTGTGTTATTTTAAATAAACACTTTCAATTATCTCACTGTCTGTCTGGCCTTGAATACCGGGTCCTCTGTTCTGTTTTGTGACAGCTATTCCACTTTATGTGGATTCCACTACTCATTAGAAAAGCTGTTCAAAAACTTTCTGCTTACATTTATGCTTTTTTTCTTTCGATCATGCCTAGTAAATCTAGAGTCTGAAAATATAATTGTATGCTCACCTGAGGAGTGACAAAGTAATCAAGAGCACCATGTTTTTTCCACCCACACTGTTTATATTTGATCAGTGCTGCACTTTATGGAATAGAAATGTTCATTTCACTGCCAAGCTGCTGCTCATTAAATGTCTGAAAGCTATGTGTATAACTTTGTATATACAAAATGACAGCAAAGTTTGTCCAAGTCTAATCACGTGTCTCTTTGGGAGACTCTGCCACTTCAGGCCAACTCAATGTGAGAGGCTTAAGGACACAAAACGAAGAAATGGTTAATTTGTATAAAATAATAGAGAAACTCAATAAAGAAATGTGTTGGGATTCTTTTCTTTTTTTCGTTATGCACACAGACTTGAGCTCATGTCAATTTATCAGTCTAAAATTATTGAATTATTTACTGAGAAATAAATCACACCACAGATCTGTCACAACTGTCAAACATCCCATGGATTGAATATACAAACAGAGAATATCGTGTCTGAATTACGTTTTAGCTTCTTTCTGTGCTCCATCTGTGTCTCTCCCAGTTCCCTTGGAAACGCATCTCAAACACATCCCTGTAAATTATTCAGAAATATCACTGAAGGACTTACAAAAACAGGTTATCTGAAAAGGCTAATGGATTGTAGGGATCACTGTCACACAGCTCTCTTCATTGTGTATTTGTGTATTCTTCAAGCCTTTCGTGTCCAGAGAGTACTTATTTCAGGCAGGGATTATTCCCAAGCTGCTAACAGTTTTTGTTTTGTTTATGTTTCCCCCTGCTACCACGGATTGTGTAGTTTTAGGTCATGTAAACAGTAAGTTCATTCTACATTATTGTCGTTTGTATTGTAGAGTTCTCATTTTCCTCATCCACATCGTAAAGCCACACTGTGCAACTTTTAACCACTAGGAGCACTATACAAGAAACTGAAATGTTTAGAACCCCTGAGAGCACTTTTATGAAATTTAACAGTTACCCTCAGTTTTTTGGAGTCTGATGACAGTTGCCTTTGTCATTGAGTTTCTTGTGCAGACACTGATGTTACATAGGTGAGGTTATGAGAAGGTCAGCCAGCATGGAGCATCAATATGCATTAATTGCTTTAAATTGAACTGGAAATTAATTTAGTATATCTGAAATTCAGCAAAAACTTGGGTCAAAAGTGACACAGTGTTGGTTTAACATACAGTCATCCCAGACATTCCTGTCTGCCGTCACTTCAACAATATTCATGAAGATAATAGTCGCCATTACTACACGGATTAAAACATACCAATATACATATATATATATATATATATATATATATATATATATATATATATATATATATATATATATATATATATATATATATATATATATATATATATATAAGAAGATGGATTCTGACCTTCTCATGCACATTGTATATATATATGTATATATATACACATATATATATATATATATATATGTATATATATATATATATATATATATATATATATATATATATATATATATATATATATATATATATATATATATATATATATATATATATATATATATATATATATATATATATATAATATTTTATCCTAAATTTATTGAAAAGATAAAAGTTCATTTGTATTTGTTGAGCTTGTTTCATTTCAGTACATGTCATAATATCACATGACTCAGTCTAAATCGACTAATTCATGCCAGAAATCAAATTCCTAAGTGACCCTTAGTTTTAAAGATGAACTTGTGTTCAAAGTACCCCCCTGCCAACCCTTACAAACTAGAGTTAAGATGGATTGTATAAGAGTTCGAACCACTTAATTCAGAGAAAATGCCAAAAGTTTCAAAGGTAAAGTATTCTATTTTTTATGAAGCAAACAAAAAAATTGATAAAATACTGTAACAGAAACCTTTAGCATTCTCAAAAAGCCCAACCCCCTACAAATTAGAACCTTGTTGAGCCACATTTTTCCAGCTATTTAAATTGGAAGTCTCTTTGGGTCAGTCTCTATAAGTTTACTGTTTAGAATTTGAGGAAAAATCAAGAAGAACTAGAGGAACAGAAAATATTTGCAAATGTAAGTAGGAAGAATTGATGAAAAAAGAACCTGGAATATCTTATTGCTTAGTATTATGAATGCATGAAAGTATTTGAAGTACTATGAGACAAATTATACAAAATGTTTTAAGGAAGATAAAAAGAAATTTCAAAATAAACATGAATTCTTATGCGCATCCATCATAAGTGACACCTTCCAATATTATTTTGCCGCCCGGTAAAGAGCCCTTAAATAGATCAAATACTGAAAAAATCCCTAATCTTAAGAAATAAAGCCCTCTAACAATTCCTCCAATAAGTACAACAACATTTCTATGAAATCCTGGAGTTGTAATTGTTGACTCCATTTTCCCCTGGGGAACAAAAAGATAAGACACACTGGCCCATTTCTCTTAGCCACTCTTTGAAACGGTAGATGAGAAAACATCCTATCAGAGTAAGGTGGATGTGTGTTGGTCATTATAATCCATCAAATGATGACAAGACAAAAAACAACTCACCTAAATTTTTCTGTATCTATAGGGAGGGCAGAATTAGCATTTCTTGAATGTGAAACTAGAACAAAACATGGCTGTATGAGGATCTGGGTTTATAGGTGTGTTAGATGGTTAAACCAGTGGTTCCCAAAGTGTGGGGCGCGCCCCCTAGGGGGGGCGCAATGCCATTGCAGGGGGGGCGCGGGAAGCGGTATGGATGAATGAAGAAAAAAAAAAAAAAAACAGCGCTTGCTTGACTGAGCATAATGGACAGTTGTGACACTGCAACCCAGATTTGAGAAGATCTACAGCAACAAGCAGGCTCACTACAGCCACTGAAAAGATGGAGGATTAAAGTACAAAGAAAAAACTCTCAGGGAGCTGTTCAATGTTTTCACTGCATTTTGCACAGAGGCTTTTTTAATGTATAGATTATAGCAAAGTTAAATATTGTTACAAATAAAAAAAAAGAAATATGTTTAAAATAACACAGACAACCAATAATCCTCTTCTAATCTACATTATAGAACTATGAAAAAAATACAGTTACACAAAAGTGTTCCACTGTAAAGATGGTGTGTAGTTTGTTTTGTTGCAACCTGAAGTGTGAAATAAACTTCAGGGGAGTTTGAAAACAAAATATGTGTATAGATTTATTATATCTGGTTGAACGATGTGTGTGCCCAGTTTATTCTTTTCTTTTTTTTTGGGGGGGGGGGGGGGGGGGGGGGGGGGGGTTGTTGATGGGGGGGCGTGGAAATTTTATTGTAATCCAAAGGGGGGCCCAGAAGAAAATCTTTGGGAACCACTGGGTTAAACTAAGATAAAAGCTCACTGTTCAAGCACTACGATACAGACTGGCCTCTTAGGGTCACCAAATCTTAAAAAAAAATCGTGACCTTTCAGCAGGACTTACTACTCTTACAGAGTGGAAATTATCCATAGCTAGAAAGCTAGCATTAAATCCACTGTGCATTAAGCTTAATTAGTTTCCTAAAATTACTTAAACTTAAGCAAAATGCCATTAAGCAAGAAATAGCTGCAATACGCTGGAGAAAACGTGAATCTTATCTGACCCCTTTAACTGCTGTGTAAAGAATCCATTAAGGGATTAAAATGAATGCCGACACAGATGCAGAGGTCATGTGATTAACTCAAGCATCGAGTGTAAACAGAAACTGTCAGCATTCACAGTTCTCAGAGTCCAAGACAAGAGAGACTTTTAACAACGATGCTTTCACGGAGGTCGATCTGCTCTCTGCTTCTGTGTCTTTGGAAGATGTTTCACTACTGTTATGCAGAGGGAACCCAGTAAACAGGATGTTAGCTGTGTCACAACAAAAATTAAGCATAAAAGGGCTTATGAAACAACAGTAGGATCACAAAACCATCCATCCTTCAGCCAACCCTCTTCATATGTATGCCTTTTTGTTTAACACTTAGTATTAGTTCTCCATATAGACTTATGCAACGATAAACATAGCAGAGCAGTGGTTCCCAACCTGTGTGTTAGAATACAAACAGTACCAAGATCTGTTGGTTAAAAGCCTTGGCATTTTTGTTTCACTAAAAGTTTAATGAAACTCAAAGTCTATGCTGCAGTGTCTTCGAAAAAATTTGACTACAGCTTAATTCATTTGGGAAAGAAATCCGAAGTTGGAATTTTTACACAGACTAATGAGCCAGGTATGGAAGCACTGCTGTAGGAGATAAAGTTTTTCTCACAGAATGAAGGCCTGTGTCATGTCTTTGATTTTAATGTGTGCTTGATTGTTTGCTTCCCAGTTGAGCAGCTGCCCACCATCACAGATCAGGCTCCCAGCACTCTCATCGCCTTACCCTTTGATGAGAGCTTCCCTATGACGTGTGAGGCCAAAGGGAATCCTGAGCCAGAGTGAGTACTGAGGCTTCCAACACTTCAGACAAGAGCAGAAAAGACTGGAGAGCTTCAGAGCGAGCATAACTGTCATTAGATATAAACAACAACAGATTACCATAAGCATAATTTGTGTTCCTATTTTGAACCAGAGGTTCAAGAAGGTTTTAGTTTCATCTAAAAAGTTTAACACTTTCACACTTCCTTTATATAGATTCCAATGGAAAAAGAATGGGGAAGATTTTGACCCTTATCTTGACCCCCGTCTGATCAAAGAAGAGAATTCTGGGACCTTTGTGATACCTAATAATGGGAACCTCACAGAGTACCAGGGAATCTATCGATGTTATGCATCAAACAAACTGGGGACAGCCATATCGAAGGATATAGAGTTCATTGTGCCAAGTGAGTAATCTGTGTATGTGTGCATATGGGATATAATTGTCTGGAAAGGATTCAAAACCTCTAAACTTGAGTGTCTCATTGCAACAAAGCATGCTATACATCAGTGAGACTGTAGAGCCTTTTAAAACAATAGTAGAAGCATATGAAGTTAATGCTTGAAAGGAAATCACATAATTCTGAGTATTATTTGCAAAATATAGTTTCTCGCAAAACTGTATTATTTTTTGTTTTCTAATGTTACTTGATTAATGTAAAAGACTTCACCCCAACCTCATAGTCTTTACCTTTAAGGGTATTTTTTGGTTATTCCTTTATGATGATATACCTAAAACTTTAAGGTGGTGCATAAAATTTAAATTCTGTTGTAGCTCTCTGGCAGTGTGTTTATACACATTGTTTTGGTGAAAGGTCAACCCTTCTACATTTTAGATCTTTATTTCAGGATATCCTGCACGCTTTGTTCTTTGTAGCTACTTATTTTTATTTATCATCTATGTGCAGCTTTTCTATTTGTGCCTAACAACATGATGCTGCCATCAACCAAAAGGTTATATAAATTTCTAAGCTGTTCAGTAGATTAACAAACCTCTGAGACGTCCATAGAAGAGCTGTACTAAGACTGATTTAGATGCAGGTGGAATGTCATGTGCTTTAAGCTAAATGTTGAAAATACTGCAGATTGCATTAAGGGGTTATCAGAGAAAATGTGAGCCAGATACAAATTTATACTTAAATTTTAGCTTATTAATCTTAACTCTGTGCTTGATTTTTAAACTGTTTAAAGCTGTTTTCATTTTTTTGGTCTATCACATAAAAATCGCTATGTTTTACTGTATATTGAAATTTCTAGTTACTGTATAAAAGGACACATTCTGAAAAACTGTCACTAGATGGGCAAGAACTCATTTGGGTTGGGAGGCAACAGTCCAAGGGAGGTTAAAGGGTGAGATATCACTTGTAGAAGTGATATCAGTTTGAATTCTGTTTTAAAATGCCAAAATTCCAATTTCCCTCAATGAAAACAAGAAAAACTACCGTACTATGGATCTACTGTTGATTTGAAGAATGATCTTACTGCCCTCTTGTGGAACAAAATAGAACTGCTTTACAGTTTTAATTCATGCTTGTTTTTCTTGTTTTTACCAGATGTTCCAAAATTCCCTAAAGAAAATCTTGAACCTCTTGAAGTGGAAGAAGGCCAACCATTTGTTCTTAAATGTGACCCTCCCAGCGGCATACCTCCTCTTCAGATTTACTGGATGACCATCAGTAAGTAAAAACTTTTTTTCCTGATCTTTCATATTAATAAATCAGAAAGCTTGTTGTGAATACTTACCACTGGATCATTATATATAAGGTACATTTAGACATAAAACCTTCCCTAAGCTGCAATAATCCCTTTAAACATCCATGATCTCAATATGTGTCAGTATTTACAATCTCATGCTGTGCAGACAGACATTTAACTTTAAATCCAATTTAAGAGCTTCATCATAGCCTAAGGCGATAAATGTGCCAGGATATTACCTACCAAAAATGAATATGAATTTAGATGTTTTAATGCACCACATGTGAAGATATTGAATGAGCAGATACAGAAATCAGGGTATTATTTTTCCACCATACTAGATAAATATATTTTTAGAAAATACTTTTTCAGTTTTATTTGACTAATGGGATATATGTAAAGGAATTTATCTCCATGATCTTTTTGCACTCAGATCTTCAGCACATTGAACAAGATGAAAGGGTTTCCACCGGCCTGAATGGAGACCTTTACTTCTCCCATGCTGTGGAAAAGGATAGCAGAAGGGACTACTGCTGCTTTGCTGCCTTCTCGAAGATACGAACCATCGTTCAGAAGAACGCCATGTCTGTTAAAGTCAAGACAAGTAGGTGCCGGGTCAACTGCCATGTCTTCATTCAGGCACTGCTTTTTGTTCAAGCCAAACTTGATGTAAAATTTGATTTTTCATCTTCAACAATCACAGCAATACTTCAAAAGCCACTTCAATGCCACATTTCCTGATTTACTTGCATGTTTTTGTTGTTTTTGTGTTTTGTTTTCCCATGATTCACCCACATAATCTTCATGTTGAACGCGTATCCTGTTTGTGCATTGATGTATCACTCCCTTCCATGTCAGGAAAAGGTGACAGTGGTAAGTTTGAAGTGTTCACCTCTGTTTAGCTTTTACTTGTTTCAGTTTTTTTGATATTGTCAAATTTTCTTCTGCATTCTAGCCAATGCTATTCTAGAGAGAAAACCCTCTCTTCTGACGCCCCCTGGTGACAGGTCGGAGAAACAGCTGGTCAAAGGAGATAACTTAGAATTGGAGTGTATTCCAGAAGGAATGTGAGTGAAACAACATTTATATACATTTATTTCCATATGTCCTTCAACTAAAACGAACAAAAACTTTCAGCAAACAGTTGCTCCACCTCTGAAAGTAGTTTGAAGGAGTAACTAACAAGTGTGCTGTTTTTTGTTGTTGTTTGTTTTGTTTCCTTTTTTCAGTCCAACTCCGCAAGTGGAATGGATGAAGGTAGGAGGTCAGCTTCCTGTTAAAGCAAAACTGGAGAACCACAAGAAACTGCTGATTGTTCCGAGAGCAGAACAGGAGGACAGTGGGAAGTACATGTGCAGAGCAAAAAACCTACTGGGAGAAGCTATCCATTACTTCACTGTGACAGTTGAAGGTAAAAAAAAAAAAAAACAGCATAATCTTAAATCATACTGTGGAGTAAATAAGTTGAGTTAGTTTAAATCATTTTGCCTTTGGAATTGTGTCTTTAATCTGCCAAAAGAGCATGCATGTATCGTGGTGCAAAAAGCCCAGATTATTTAAATTTATTAGACAGCTCCAGTCAGATGTTTACACTCAGTATCAACAGGAATGCAGAGATGTTAACTCGCATATTAAAGGTTGAAGTATTTTTACCAGAATCAAGAAAAATATTTAAAGGATTTAAGTATGGGATTTTAAACCTAAAAACAGAGAAGGACCAAATCTCAAAGAACTTGTTAGTGCCATAATGATGAGAGCATGCTTTGGAGCTGGTGATACTAGTACCTTACACAAAGCGGATAACATTAAAAAAGAAGACTTCTTTAATCTCATTTAACCTCATTATCTAACTTTAAATCCTAAGTTAAATGGTTGAAACTTGGACACAGCTGGATGGTCCAAAGCATCAAAGATGGTTTTAGAAGAAGAGAAAAGCATGGCTAAAGGCCCTGATCTCAACCCCATGTAAAATTTATTAGGCATGCATTAATTTTAAATCAACTTGGCAGCTTCTGTAAAAAATAAATTTGACCTATTCACAGAGATTATGGATGATAAAGATTTAAATTTATCCACATCCTTACAACATGGTAAGGAAGGACACTACAAATGTTTGAAACAATTTAAGAAGTAAACTCAAATTGTCATTTAGATGCTTTATATTCAGGATAATCATCGGAAATTAACTCCCTGTTATCTGATGGTATTGTTGGAATGTAATTAATTTCATTTTTATTAATTAGTTCCCAGACTTTATGAATTACGTGCCAATTTTATTAGTTATCATTTTAACTCAGACTTAAGGTGGATGGAAAGATTAGGTCAATTGCTATAGCCTGCAGGCTCTAAACAAATGGAACAAAGAAAAATTTCAGGGAAAATCAAGTATGCATATTTTGCAGGAAGCACCCAGTTCTTGAATTGAATACAAACTCCTCTGTTCACCAAAACATTCTTCTATTAATCTAAGGCCTCTGTCTTACAACTGAAATATTGCTGGAATTGCATCACGGACAGGACAATGAACCGAAACATAGCAGCAAATCTAGAAATAGAATGCTTGGAAGAGAAAATAATCAGTGTTAAAATGCTCCAGTTAACGTCCAGAACTCAAACTGATTTAAATGCATTAAACAAACTGTGTGATGAAACTACCCCTAAAACGAGAATGAACTTAAGCATTGTTCTATAGAAGATGCTGGTCAGACTAAAATTACTGATCCAACTTACTGGCACTAAAAATTGTTTCCAAAATAATCAATTATTGGGTTTACTTAATGTTTGTAATCACTCTATATAGCATTAATTTGCCTTGACCTGTTTTTCAAGGAAGACAATAAGTGCTTTTTATTGAAACAGAGCACATTAAAAATTTACTCACTGAGAGATTTAGTTACCAAGAAAAAAATTCTATAAAATAAACAATGACAAGCCCTTTACTGTTGATGCTCTGTTATTTGGGTTTCGCTGAAAACAGGTAATCAACACAGATTTTCTTGTATGTTTCTCTAGACAGTTATTGTTTGATTTTAGGTAACTAAGTTAGCCCCCCCCTTTTTTTTTTTTACTTTCACTCTGATATACAGTAAGTTTTGTATTTGCTCTATGCTGACATTCATTTTATGAACAGTATAATACAGGTATGTGTGAGGAGGAATTGCACTTTAGTCCTGCATTATGCTGAGGGTCAATCTTAGGTCCTGTGTTACATTGTCAGTCTATGTCTAAAGGCCTTGGATGGTAAACAGCATTCATTTATCCTGCATAATAGACACTGAATAGGTCTGTTTGTCTGTTTGCTCTGCAGTCTCTAGTCTTGTCTGACAGTTTGATAAAATTGTGCTGACTGTGTGTTCCCAGGGCCTCCAGAGTGGGTGTCAGAGCCAGAGAGCCAGCTCAGTATGATTGGCTCAGATGTGCATATAAAGTGCTCCGCTAGTGGGGTCCCAGAGCCAACCATCACATGGAGGGTGAACGGTGAACTTCTTCTTGGTGAGCTCTGCAATGCCCTTTCTAATCCTTATGTAGCTGCTGAAATACTTTTGGAGACAGAGAGTAAATACATTTTAAAATAAGGTGGGTTTAGTCACAGATGAAAGTTTTTTTTCTTTTGTAACACAGAAAGCACTGAATAATTATAATAAATAAATAAAAAACACTTACAGTACCTCACAGAATTAAGTTTTTATATGCCAATAATCTAAAATGTTGTTGCACCCTTGCTTCTACTGCAGAATCCCCAGCACCCAATAGGAAGTTACTTGGTGATACCATCATTTTACACAATGCTAAAGCTTCTGACAGTGCAGTCTATCAGTGTGAGGCCTCCAACAGACACGGGACCCTTCTATCCAATGCCAACATCATGATCATGAGTGAGTACAACAGCTTCTGTTTGTGTTGGCCCCAGTTTCCATCAGTTCAGTTTCACCATCATGTCTTTCTCAAGTACATAAGAAAAAAAAAAAAAAAAACAAAGCATATAGATGGAAATTTCTGCAAAATCTCACTTTCACAGCCTCTGTGAGGATGTGTCAGACTTTGCAGGGAATCATTTACAGGCTGCTGACTGATGTGTCGCGCTTTAGAGCTGGCACCCATGCTGGCATATGCCCATTTAGCAGTGAGGATCCCAGGGAAGGAGAGCTGTCTGCAAGCTCTTTCATTTCACTCAGCCACGCAGCTCTCCAACGAGAAGCAACAAGCTTCTGTTCTCTGCCATTTATATGTTAACAGATTCACCCTACGTTCTGTGCTTATTTTAACTAGTAATAGATGAACACATGCTGCCATAGGAGTGCAGATGAAACAGCAAACATAGGATTTTAGTTTATGTCTTTGTCTGGAGTTTCCGTTCAGTGACACAAGAGTTATTAAAGCTGGACAGTGTCTGAATGCTAACTCCCAGTACCTGCTCTAGTGAACAAAAAGGAGAGCCAGAGCATCCCAATGGGAGGCTTTGGCTCAAATTGATAAGGTGCATGTACTCAACTAACTCATTATTATTTTTGTTCTGCTACGATCTGATTTTCACACTCCTGACATCCTGACTCCTGGCTCATTTATTTCACTTACTCACCTAAGTGTTGTTAATACATGCGTAAGGGAACAGCGCTCTCACCTTTTTCACCTCAATTAATATGCAATTGACTGCATAATTCCTTTGCTATTTTATGAACTTTAAAAGAGGAAGCCAGATCTCCCCACCTGCCGGTTTGGTCTAGTAAAAAGCTGTTATGTTTTTACACAGAAAGCCATCCACGTTCTTTTTTTTAAAGAAGTAAACACTTAAACAAGTATTCTTTGCAGATCTACAGCCTATGATTCTGACCAATAATGGGGAAGATTATTCTACAGTGGAAGGGAAGGGTGTGATAATGCACTGTAAGGTCTTCAGTTCTCCTCCTTCAACAATCACTTGGTAAGTGTTCTGGTTCCTTTCAGCCCAATCCCCCAGCAGGGAGCAGTAGAGTCTCAGCATGTTGCTCTATTGTCTGCAACGATTCAGACACCTGCCAGTCTTTTAAAACATTTTTCAAATATTTGCAGTGCCTTGGCACAATATTGATAACGCATAATTTTCTTGCATCACAGCTGCAAACTTGAAGGTTTTATCCATAAAAAGTAGAGCATACTGTACGTTTAAGGTACCAATTATTTAATTGCTGCAAATAAAAGATAACGTGCTTTTATACTTAGCTTCCTATCTTCTTAGATTTAAATGTGTATAATCTAGTGCAAACAGTTGCCTTTAGAAGTCCACTGATTGATAAGACCACCTGTGTGTAATTTAATCTCAGTATAAACCCAGCTGTTCTGTCAAGGCTTCAGAAGGTTGTTAAAGAGCATTAGTGAACAATTAGCATAATTAGGACAGGAACCACTGCAGACAGGTGAGGGGAAATGATTTATGGAGAAGTTTAAATCTGAGAATATTAAATAATATCCTGAAAACCACTTCACCGCCAATGGAGACAATGTAATTCAAGAGATGCTACAGTCTGCAGCTCAAATGGAGAAATATGTTGACGGAAATGTTATATATTTTAGTTTACAAATGTTACCCTATAGGAGGAGTGGCACCAAGAAAGCCAAACCATCATCATTTCTAGAATAATGTTTGTCACAAATTATGTAAAGGAAAATTATGGGAACAGGAAAAGTGCTCTGGTCAGATGTGATAGAATTTTTTTGGCCTGTATAGATAAAATCCTATAGCTATTGACTAAATATTATAGCTTGAGATTAAACCAACGCTGCATATTACATAAAAAAAACACCCTCAAAAGTGTGAAAAATTAGGGTGGAAGGTGGGGTTTTGGTGCATCATTGCAGTAGCTGCAAATTAGCTTGTTGGAGTTTCCTGGAAAAATTAAATAAATGCAAGGCAACAGCCTGGAGACTGATGGTGCTTCACACCCTCTGTGAAACCAATTAAAGACTTGCCAGTTTTGTGTGCATGGGAGCATTCAGGAACCCAGACAGAAGCAGCAGGATATCAAAGCAAGAACCCCAGCATGAGAACACAAGAACAGGGACAAGATGGCCAGCCACACCCCTCTCTGGTGCTAAGCAACCACAGCAGTAGATCTGAGCAGTCCATCAGGCAGTTAGAGCGCCAGAACGAGGGAGAGGTGGTGGCTGACTGGGGCTTTTTTTCTCTATAATCCATTTTGATCAAAAAAAGCGTGTCTCTGCTGAGCTCATTCTCTCTGTGACACAGGAACATCTAGTCTCTGAAGATACACAAGAGTTGAGATTGTTCAACTCATGCAGATCCCATTCTTTGCTGTATTGCCCATAAACTTGCCTTTCACCTCGCCAGAACTTTAACTCTTGCTAAGTTTTGTCTTTCACTGCCCGTTAGCCACCCTCTACATGAGGATAAAAATAGTTTTCTCCAGTGTGAACCTTGAGGCAGGGTTTTTGTCCAACAGCTCCACTGTAATGGTTTTGATTGAAGTGTATTCTTGTATTGGAATGGCCCAGAGAAATTCCTGAGTTCAGGTAAACTGAAAATTTGTGAAAGAACTCAAAAACTCATGTCCACCGATGCTGTAAAAATATGGAATAGTTCCAATACTCTTACAAAGCACTGAGGCTGTACATTTCCCTGTAGTAACTTTTTTATGTGTTCTAAATTATTTATGATTATTTTATACCAAAAACTTGATTTTTTTTAAGTATCTTGTTTCTTTTTTTTTTAGGAGCAAAGATGACCTATCTGAATCTGTTGACGGTCCCAGGTTCACAGTTCATAACAATGGTTCTCTGGAGATCAACAGCGTGGAGGAAAGTGATGCGGGACAGTACACATGTCTGGCCAAAAATACAGAGGGATCATCTGCCATTGATGCTATGCTTTACATAAAAGGTAAACACTTGGCCCAAACCAAAAATGTAGCACCAGCAGCAAGCTCACTGTGCAACTAACTCATCTTTCCTGTGGAAGATCCCACTAGAATAGTGTTGGCCCCAGAGGACCTACAGATCTTAAAAGGTACCACAGCTCGACTCTCCTGCCTGGCAGAGTACGACAAGTCCTTCAGCAATGACTTTGAGCTCCTATGGGAGAAAGATAACACAGAAATAGCACTCAACTACACTGAGGATTCAAGGTAAGATACTGATTTTTGTTTATTTTTCAAACATTGCTGATATAGTCAAAGCTCAAATAGTAGTTTTTATTCTACCTTACACTGTTTGGCAAAAATGTCTTTGTTCTTGAATTTTATTCCATTTCTATGCTGCTATTATTGTTAGCATTTTATGGGTTATTGTGACATGGTTGCCTTTTCTTCTTAGTTAACTAGTTTTCTAAGGTTAAATAAAGAAAATCTGTGTATATGAATATCTAACCGTGTCAAATAATCTTATTTGGATTGAGGCCTGGACTTTGACTGGACCTTTTTTTTTTTTTTTTTTTTTTTTACAAATGACTACTTTTACTTACATATTTGCATTGTAGCTCTATATGTTTTGGGGTTTCCCTCTGAAAGGTCCTGTTTTTCAACTGCTTTGCAGCCTTTTTTATACCTTCCCTCACCCCATAATGCTTCCCCCTGTTTATTTAAGGTTTTGTTTTTTTAAGGCCTTAATAACAGTCCTTTTGTACTTTACACTCTCTCAATTGTTCTGAACAACATTGTTATTAAAATGGTTGAAGGCCTGTACTTTTATAGTGTTGTATCAAGTTCAAGTACCGGTACCCAAAAGCACATTACATTACATTCAGTTATTCATTTATTCATTAACACATTGATGTTGGTACAGTAAGCTACATTGTAGTTAAGGCTGCCCTGGGGCAGACTGATAGAAGTAAGGCTGCCATACAATCAGCTCTTTGTTTAATTTATTAATGAAGTATACTAAGAACATTTTTCAGATTGTCTGTTTTTAGTCAGAGCAGTCAGGGAGATTACATGTCATTGACAGGTTCATATCCCCAAACTGAGATGATATATGCTCCTACTTTTTTTAATAGTTGACAAATATGCCACCAAGTGTAGACTGTATGGCCATTTCTAGTTATTACCACCAATAGATCTCCAAAGTTTAATATATAATGTTTTTCTGTTCCAGTATTTTTTATTCTCATTACACTGTCACAAATACAGAGCAACAAAATGAACTCTGTGATTTAACCCAGCCCCTTGGGGAGCGATGGGCTGCCATTGTGGCAATCTGTGGGAGTGGAGCTTGAACTCAGAACCTCAGGATTCCAAGCCCTATGTCCTAACCACTAGGCCTGCCTCATGGCTTTCTCTACAGCTGTGTCTCTTGATCTTTCTGATTACCTGTTGTTCTCTAGCAAAACTCTCAGGCATTTACAGAACAGTTGGATTTAGACTGAGCTCAAATAATGTGCAGGTGTGCCCTGTTTACTATTTATTTAACAGATTGGCTGCTCTGAATTAATGCAGGAATTTACCATGGGTGTAAGCATGCATGTATGTGGGCATGTATAGAGTTTATGTTAGGTTTAGGGTTAGGTATGTGTCAGTGATGAAATGAACACAATATGAATGGAAGTTAACGCAAAGTCCCCACAAGGATAGTGTAATACAACATGTCTGAATGTGTGTTGTTTAAAAAAATGTTTTTATGGTTTGAAATAAAAGTGTACATTTAGGGATATTAATGTTTTAACAAGATAAGATTAGTCAGCCTATTTTCTTTCTCCATCTCTCTGTCAGTAGATACATTTTGGAGGATAGTAATCTTCACATCGTCAATGTTAGCCACAGCGATCAGGGTGTGTATAGGTGTGTGGCCAAGACTCCATTGGACAGAGACACTGCCTCAGCCTCCCTCATGGTGTTAGGTGAGAAAACACAGGATCTCTACTTTTTCTCGTGGTCAAAGCATAAAAAAAAACTAGAATTATATTTGTAAAAGGATCAGGAGTACAGAAAATACAGTGCTTGCCTTTGTTGCGCAGCAGCATTTCTGACAAGCCACTAAACCATCCCCTGCCCCCCATAGCCGTAGTGCAAGATACTGCTGACATCTCACAATGGTAAACACAAAAGCGTCAGAGATTCAGATCGTTCCACATCCTCTGACTCTTGGGACAACTTGATTGAACATTTTTTGCTTTGGCCTTTCTTGCTTGTAGAGATTGATGTCTGTGTGTATCAGTTTTTTTCTTTTTGTGTGTGTCTGTGTTTTTTTTTTTCTTTTCTTTCACTAAAAGCTACTTTGTTGGGTTGATTTTCAGATGTCCCTGATGCTCCTGAGAACTTGGCACTGTCTGAGCACAAGAGTAACAGTGTGAAGCTAAAATGGATACCCGGGGATGACCACAATAGCCCACCCACAGGTGCATAGGTGTAAACATACACAGAACACACCACATCAAAGCCATGAATGGCATTAATAAGTCACACATTTCTGCTCATCATACTGGATCCATCACAGAACTGTTTAATTAAATCTTGTAAAATCTAAATCCGTTATTGATTAATCCAAGCATGAATTCTGGTTTGTGTCCCAGAGGAGGAGGGAAGCCAAAAGGATGGTTTGAGGAGGGTTCAGCACAGCTGGAGTTTAGATAAGCAATCCTTTGGAAAGGGTCCACTTTAATGATTTTTATGTCTGTCAACAGAGTTCATCGTTGAATACGAGGAAAACAAGTGGGAGCCGGGAAACTGGAAGGAGCTGCTCCGAGTCCCTGGAAATCACAATTCTGCTGTCCTCAAACTCCACGGTCACATCGAATATCGCTTCCGGGTGTACGCCGTCAGCGATGTTGGGGCAGGGCCACCTAGTGCGCCCACAGAAAGATACAAAACTCCCCCGTCAGGTGTTTATTCCATGTTGTGATAAGGTCTCCGAAGGCCATTGAGCTTTTCTATGCCACGGCTCTGTGAGCTTTAAAGCGGCCAGACCTGCTGCATAATTGAATCCACTCTTGTTGAAAATCTGCTCTCCTGTGCACCCCTTTCACTGAAGATTTCTTCCACTAACAATGCTGACAAAAATCTATATTTCTTCTTTTGTATAGCCCCTGACAAGAACCCAGAAAATATCAAAATCGAAGGTCGTTTGCCACATGAAATGGATATCAACTGGGAGGTAAGAAGCAGAGAATGGCCCTTTATTATTTTTTTTTACTTCAAATTTTGCACCCTACCTTTGCATAGTATGATTTTCCTTTTCGCTTGAGCTCATAGAATTCCTCTCTATGATCAGAGATGAAGTTTTATCAATGTTTCATTTTCAAGCAGAAATAATTGAAGAAGTAGAAATGGTCTACTTCTGATATTTCTCTCTAGTGGAGATCTGAGGAAAACCTTTCCTGGTATTGCTATGAATATGTTTCTATTGAAAGCAGCTTCTTTTCTTTGATTAGAAAGCAAAAGAGAAGGCGGTGAAAAGAAAATCTTTTTAACGTTCACAGTCATCCATTTGCCTTTATTGTAGAAAGATGAATCTCTTCTTCACTTATTATCTGCTTGCCCTGTCACCATAATATAGCCTCTGATTTGTGGATTCAAGCTCTCCCACTGTTAATGATTTGCTTTTGTGGATAATGGTATCTTATTCTATTTCTCACACTCTGATTTCAGTGAGAAGATTAATCTTTTTATCTGCAGCTTCTTAGCAAGCTCTGTATTAAATAAAAGCCTTGCTGCTGGACCATGTCAGTGGCTCCAGTGTTTTATTAGACACCAGGAAGAAATTCTGACACAGATCCAAGTGCAGCTCCCCGGCTATGCTTGTCATTTTAATCCTGCACACACTGGGATTGACACTAACTAGTCACACCCACAAAGCATCTCATGCAACTCTGAATGTGTCAATGAAACTTTTATTCCCTCTGTCTCACACATACAGCCTCTGATGCCTATAGAGCACAATGGCCCTGGTCTAGAGTATAAGGTGAGCTACAGGCGACAGGATGTGGAGGAAGACTGGAAGGAGCACACTGTGAAGAGGCACTCATTTGTTGTTTGGAACACTCCCACATTCGTTCCATACGAAGTCAAGATCCAAGCCAAGAACAATCAAGGCTGGGGCCCAGAGCCCAGGATTGTGAGTGGCTATTCAGGAGAAGACTGTGAGTACTACAGCATTTCAGTTGAATCCTCACTTATACCTATTTGGGTTTTAGAAGGTTTTATGGTACAAAAAGAAACTGGTTAATGATACCTAATGGCATTTCATCTTACACATATTTTGGTTGTGCTTTTAGACTCATTACTATAAGCTAGTGTTGCGCTGATGCCATTTTTTGGCCCCAATACCGATATCTGGCTGTGCAGTATTTTATTTTTTTTTTATTTATGTGTTTATTTGAACAGGGACAGTGCACATTAATAAACATTTCTGTAAATGAGCCAGTGTTAGCTAAGTAGCTAATTTTCAACTGTAGTCCCTGGGCAAGGTTTAAAATGCCAACATAATAAAAACAACTGGCCAATACTGATATAATACCGATACCATCAATTTGAAATTGATGTGCATGAAATGATGAACTGCATACTATTTGGATGTAAAATAATTGCCATCATGGCTTTGTCAAGCTGCTGCCTACCTTTGTGATCAGGAAAAAGACTGATACAAATTGAACCCAGTAGAACTTTTTATTGTCTACCTGGAATGGGTGACAATAGTTGAATGAACATTTGCCTCTCAAAATGGTATTGGTGCCCTATTTGTTGGTACTCACCGATACTGATACCACCATTTTAGTGCTGGATCGGGGCCCCGCCCGATACTGGTATCGGAATCGGAAACACTATTACAAACCCATGTTAAAAGTTCCATAAATATTGAAATAAATTTAGTATAAATTATTCTGACATTTCCTGACTTGAGTCAGATATTATAAGTGTATTTCAATCTGAAAAACTCACACGATGAGAAAAGACAATTAGGAGAAATGTATTTATGCAATTACTTTGTCTTTGGCCCTCAGACCTCGGCAGGAAACATAGCGGTTAATTTTTATAGATATGCATGAAGCGGAGCGAAGAATAAGGCTGTTTCCCTCCAGGCCTGAAACTTGTGGTGGAGTCGAGATGGATGAAGTTGGTCAGTCTGTAGACTGCTGGTTAGTGAGACAGTATGCTGAGCTTTATGGGGAGATCCAGTGGATTGCGTGACCTGATGCTAGAGCTTCACTCAGGGAACTGGAAGATGGAAGTCCAGTTGGATAACACAGGTTGAGAGAACCTGTCCATGATGAGCAAGCATGGAGTGACAGTGGAGAGGAAAAACTCCCAATTAGGTAGAAACCTCTGGCAGAACCAGGCTCAACATGGCAGTCTTCTGCTGGACCGGTTGAGATGAGACAAGGAACGCAGTAAGAGTCCGGGAGGAATGACACTCTGATGAAGCTTTAGCTACGATGGTGGAGGAGGGGCTGGAGGTGGATTGAAACAGTGTAATCTGAATGAAGTCACACAGCGCATCCGCCGCCTGCGCACAGAGCAGACAGGTGGATCGGAGGCCTTTTAAGATGAACTTTGGATGCCTATTGGCTTTCACGGAGGTGTGGTTCAAAACTGATTGGCTGTGTCGCAGGTGGATGTAGGACAGCAATGAGTTATTTCAGTTGAACTTCCACCTAGGCTCCATTAATTCAACTGAATATAATTCCATGATTAGAAATTCTAATTTGAAATAGAATCAGCAAAGCTTTTCGAACAAAATTCCTGCTATAACTAGCACATTCCCACAGTATGATGCAACCTTCACTATGTAGTACTGTTAAGATATATTCAAGGTGACTTGCAGTACTAGTTTTCCTCTTCATGTAGCATTTTGGGTTAAGGTCCAAAGGTTCTGTCTCATCTGTTCAGAACACTCTTGTTTAAAGACTGCTGCAATTATTAGGCTTTTACCGCTACATCAGCCTTGATTTATTTCATTTGGATGATGTGCAATCAGTCAGTGCTTGGCCCCATCCAATCTACCTCCGCAGAGGTCCCAAGATTAGCTACTGTAAATACTCTAAAGTTGTAATTTACATTTTAGAGTGCTATCTCGTGTGAACGCAGAAAAAATTTAGTTATCACAGGTGTTAAAAAAATTTTTTTTCGAAAACAAAGCGGAACTTTTTTGTATATTTCCTGTTTGCAACTAAAAGTGTTTGTCATAAAAATATTATCAGAATAAATAAAAAATTGCAGGTAAGGTCTTTAAAGATGGTGATCAGCTACAATGCTGCAATTGATCCATCCCCACTAATAGTTATTTACTTTATTTTTAGGCTTTGTACAAATCTTAACTATTAGTGTCATTAATGTGGCTACTGTCCATATCCATTAAAGCTACAGGGTGTAATAAATAGAGGGATTTACTAACGTAATTGTAAAATATTATAGATAAGTATGTGATTTATTATGACCTAAAAACTGAAAGTCTTAATCTTTATGTTTGTGCTGCCTTACAAATTGCTATTTCTAGATACATAGAAACAGGCCTCGCATGTATGGAGGCAGCCATCTTTATGCTCTGGTATCACAGAGATCACCATTATGTTTGAATGTGACTGCTGCAAATTAAGTCTACATAAAAACTGTATGCTACACAGAGTAATAAAATATTTTCCTAAAATGTCCTTTGTAAACAAACCTTGTCATCACTTGACAAGATAGGTGATGCAGACTTTGCAGAATTAATTTTGTACCATGACAGCCTTTGTATTGTTGGAGAGGAAGAAGCAGTGGGGGGAGTGGTTCATGTTGTTGTCGTCTGATCATTAGATTTTGCTCAGAATTACACACTAGCTTCCAATAGCCTGCTTTAAAAGCTCTGATAAATTAGCTGTATTCCTTCTAAAAGTAAGGAGAGTAAAAATTGTCAAGTCCTAACACATTTTTACACAAATTTAGACTTACTTAAAACAGATATATGGTGATATTTTTTTATCAAATAGAATAGTGCTTTAGAGCCAGTTATATTTTGATAACAGTTTAGCCCTCTATCAACATTTCACTCTCTTTTGAAATGTTTCTACATTTGCAAAAGAAAAACATCAGCCTTTGTGTCATGATTGTGCATATTTTGGATCTGTTTAATTTTTCTTTTTGAGTTTTTATTGGTTTAATATCCATTTTGTGTCATTCTATTTGTTTTCTGGTTTCATTTGAGTTCTTATGTATTTCTTGTTTAACCTCTTGTCCCCTTGTGTCAGTCTCCTTTCCCCTAGCTCCCTTCTAGATCCTTCTATCCACACCTGCTCCCAATCAGTTCATTACTCCATTCTTTGCTCTGTTTGGCATATATACTCCTCCTCCTCTGCGGTTTGCTGAAGTCTCTTCATTCCTTTCTTAACCCATGTGTTCCCTGTTGTTCTGTTTTTTTGTTCAGCTTGAGCAGTTGTTTTTTTGGATTTATGCTTCTGTTGCCACTACTTATTAAATCAACCAGAAACCACCTCTTGCTTCTTTCTCTGCATTTTGGTCGTCTAAAAACCTCCACACAACCTGACACCGTGTCATTTTCTTTGACACCATTCTATAAGATATCTTACAAAAGATGAAACCTTCACCTCAAGCTGTGGCTTTGATGTAACACAGGGCTAAAAATCACAAACCTTAATTTCTTACTATGTTCTCATTTTTTCTCCGTTAATATTTGATTTATGTCAAGAAGCACTGGTTTGAACCAAAAAGCTGGCATGTGATTACCAAAACTTAAGGAAAACTCAAAAACGAAGCTTACACTTTTTGTAAAGATAAATCACAGTATGATGCATATTAATTTAGACTTCTGCATATATTCCATACACAGATCACCTATCACTAGCAAAAAAATTGTCACGTCTATGAATACAAGAGTGGGAATTGGAGAATAAAACACAAGTTAAATGCCTTCCATTGAAAGTCACATATCTTACTCCTCCTTCTGATATTGAAAACCAAAATCATCATATTCATTAATTTAATTTACAGTCCTAATGGTGAAGTGCTGCACTGTATACATATGTCGAGCTTCTTTGTTTCCTTGAACAACTCATATTGTAATGCATAGTGGTGTGAGCATCATGCTGTCGGGGTGCTTTTTTTCCAGGAAGGACATTTAAGCTGAGGAAAGTTATTCAAAAGAGGTATGGAGCTAAAGCTGGAAAAATTCTAGATAAACGCCTAAAAGCTGTAAGAAAATACTTAAGATTGAGGCCCAGCTTCAGGTTTTAGCAGGGCAATAACCACAAATTCCTCTGATTCCACTCTGCAGAGATGCATTACATTGTGCTGGTCTACCCCATATTATCGAAATACTGTAACATATAGAAAGTTGTGGTTTTAGTCTCAGACAATGTGAAAAAATAGTTAAGATATATGGTTTGCTTTATTAGTTATTACCTTTTTTTAATGTTTTCATCTTATTTGTCTTCACTGTATGGTAAACTTCAATTAATGAAACTAATTAATTGACTTTTCACTTAATGTCACAAGTGCAGACCAGTTGTCTAATATTTGTTACCTCTGAAAATACCTTTTTAAGCTGCAATATAGTATAACAGCATTTTGCTGTTGACTTTTTATGATGTTGTGTTGTCCAGCTGCAGGGCCTCGCTAACGAGCAGAGGCAGCTACAGTAATATTTTCTGTATGGTCTAAAGTTTTTTAAAGGTCTCAAACAGCTGGATTCTAACAGGGTCCGGAGTAGTGGAGGTGTAATGTATGATTTAATCCAAGATAACAATGTTTGTGTTAAACATGTATTTCCTGTGTTTAGCATTCTTCTGGACTTGTCCTGTGGATGTCACCTCAGGTTATAACACCACCTCAGTGTTGTGTGCAATCCGTAATATAGTGTTAATTATTTGGTTCCGCTTTTTATCTGCTTTCTGAGCCATAGATCCCCTTTTCTATAGCTAGTCAAGCAAACATTTGTGTGTTTTAAAAGGATTTTGTTTTTATAGATTATAAAGTGTCATTTTTATTTTTTTTTTGAAAACTTGTCCACAGAGTTCCTCAGACTAGCCTTGTCTCGCTGCTATGGCTCTCCCAGACTGACTCAGCTTATAACTGATTCTGATGTGTGTTTTCCTTGGCAGTTCCCTCTGCTGCCCCTGATGATGTTGCTGTGGAGGTGATGAACAGCTCAGCAGTCAAGGTTACCTGGACACGCGTACACAAGGACAAGCTGCATGGACATCTGGGAGGCTACAGGGTAATGCCTCTTAAAACACAGCCTTTCTATCAGACACAGTTAAAAGGAATGGCCTCGACCTTGCTCTCAACGTTTGCTTCTCGTGCCCCTGTCTGCCATCTACACTGATAATCTCAGTGTTTTCTTTGTTCGCAACAACTCTTTTGGCATCTCATTGCACAGATGTATATGCATAATGTAGAAAGCTTCTGTCTGTGCTGTAGATAAACTGGTGGCGTTTGCGCAGTCTGGTGGACTCGAAGAAAAGCCACGGAGACAAGCACTCCTTGACGTTCCCTGGGGACCGAACCCATGCCACAGTGCCGGGCCTGACGCCCTTTTCTGAGTACAGCCTCATCGTCATGACCTTCAACGGGCGGGGTAACGGTCCAGGCAGCCATCCAGTCAACTTCAAAACCCCAGAGGGAGGTAAGGTTCTGGCAAAGCAGTATTGATTTGCAGCTTTTCAAAAAGAAAGGTCTAACCAAGAAAGTATATTTCTATTACTTACTGTGTGCTTTTTGCTCCCTGTCCTATCAGTCCCAGAGAAAAATTCAGATTTCAGAGTCACTGATGTAAAGCGGGAATCTGTCTCTCTGGCCTGGGGCCCTCCTATAGAGCCTAATGGGATTCTAACAGGGTACCTTCTGGAGTACCAACTGAGTACGTATTTCTCTTTAACTGGTAAGACTGATGATGCTGAATTGAGATGTTCTTCCTTCTAAAGTATGCTTCTACAAGCTAGATTTAAATTTATCATTTGTCAAATATTCACATGTTAAATATTGATACTTTCCTTTGTACTATGTTGCACTAAGCCTTGTAAAGTATGAAATTCTATCTTTATAAAAACTTTCAGTAAAACTACAAATGTTTTACGGAAATACGGTCTATAGACAAATCTTTTAAAATAAACAAGTATAAGATGACATAATTCAGTGATGTCCAAAGTGCAACTTGCAAGCCAGTTGTGGCTCTTTAAATTATATAGCTTTGGTCCCTCAACTTTGGTCACATGACTTCTAACAAGCATAACATACTGACTTGACTCACTCCAACCCTTTAGGTGGCAGTAATACGCTTAAAGTCAGTTTGCTGCCACACAGAAGGGAAGAAAGAATTCCCGTTATGTCTTAGATCTACGTCAATGAGTAGAAGTAAGCACTTTCCTGCACAATAATGATAGTAAAGTCCAGCCAAAATGGAGATTGAAAAAGCAAGCTTTCAAGTTCATAAACACAATATTTGTCTGGGGTGAAAAACTTACATTTTTGTGGTAAGTGCAAAAGAAAATTGCTTTTGCGATATTGCTCAAAGATAATAGAAATGTAAATTTTTGGCAAATCTTCTAGCCTTACCTTTTGCAGTAACATAAGCTGGTTAGTGGAAAATAGTATTAAGCTTGCTGTATCTCAGAGTGTTGTATCCAGACACCTGACATGTGCACATGCTTTGCTGATCTTGAGCAGAAGTCATAACAAAGGTAATGACTAAAGCCAAGCATACAATATATTAGTCTTTGCCCTTTTCGAGCTGATTCTCCAGACTTTCAGCCTGATCATATGTCCTGCGCTGTGTAGTATACAGAGGGTAACTAGGGGTGATTAGCCGCTCAGGACCACCTCCCGATCAGAAATCATAAGGTTGGGAGATAATCAAACATGTTTGAAATGCAGTCAGCCGTGGTGAGGTGTTTGTGGAAAAATCCTTCTGTTGAAGCAGAGCTACGAGCTGATTTACCAGAACCTTGAGCACTGCGCATGTGCCAACAGTGGAGTTCTCCTTCTAATTCTTCCAGATTGACAAGTCTGACCAGCGCCATCTCTCGGCACTGAGTCCGACATGTGGTTTTTGAATGTGCAGCGTGAGAAGGTAGATCGCATCAGAGCATCGGGTTATACAGTGTGAGAACATGCATCATGAGCTGTGAACTTTTAAACCCAGCCATGTCGTCATACAGTTCGAGTTGTAACTGCATGCAACGATTAAAATTGTACAGTGTATGCCCGGCTTTAGTGCAGCTCAGCAAATGGAGTCTGATTTGCAGTGGCGGCTGGTGAAAAATATTTTTGGTGGGGCTGATATAGCCTAGTGTATGTCTCCAACTAACCCGGAATAAGAATTCAAATAAACAATTGGACAATACATACAATTTAACAGTAATGATTTAATTTACTATATAATAACAGTAACAGTGATGATTTGGGTCACTGTGACGGGGTTCTTTGGCCTCCAAGAATCCAGTCTCAGTCGGGTTACCGGTGTTGGTGATTTATTGAGCTCAAAAACTCAAAACAGGGTGCAAAAGAAACTAAACATATACAAGATCCTCTGGGCCTCAGCCTCCCTCCAGTTACCAGCAATGTAACAAAGAAACAGAAAACAAAAATTGCCGCTTTTCTTCCCACAGCCCTCATTAAATAGTTTAAGCCCCTCACCTCAGGCTCTCTTATTTCTGATTTCTTCTCATTAATCAGTTTTGTCCATATATTACCTCCACAAACAATTGATGTACAAAAACAAATAATTTTTACAACTTAATTCTTTTACAGAGATTCATTGACTTATTCAATTACACCAAACTGGGTTTGAACCCAGCAAAGACGCAGCCAGACTGAAGATGACAAGTCCCCGCATAAACACGTACACACCCACACCCCCCACACACCCACACACACACACACACACACACGGCTAACCCCACTGAAATATTAAGTGTGCACCCTCAATACGCCAGCAGGTAACCAGGAACAGCTTGTGTGTTTTAAGTTCATGGAGCTACTGATCTCAGCGCGAGTGTATTGGTCCTCACAAGCACAGTATAACAGGAATGTGTGTGTGGCGCGCAAAGTTAGAGAGGTTGTTTTAAGCGACGAGGTGGATTCGTCACAGTCCCAATAACCATGAAATGAAATGTTCATATCATACAACAGGGATGTTCTTCTGGCAAACGGTTAGATAAATAAGGATCTCACCGAATTTGGTGGAAGCTGCATCTCGCTCGTTACATTCGCCATCTTCCCTCTAATTGTCTGCACCTGCGCTTGGGTTCAGAAGCCTGTAAAAGCGCAGTATTTTCAGCGCCCCAATACCATAAAGTTCCGAGACGCTGATTGGCCATTAAATTCACCTAGCAATAGTACATGATTGACAGATTCTCTGCAAATGTGGGTCAGTCTGATCAACGCCCCCAGAACAGAGACGGTAGGAGTCTGTCTGTGGAAATCCACAAATTAATGACAGTAGATAGGGAAATGTAGTATATATAATTTGTTTTGCTTATAGTTACACAGTCTAGAGAGTAAAACTGACATTTATGAGTTAATTTCTAAAAATATATTTTACGTTTCTCTCTTCTTATCAGGGAGGGCGGTGCCCCAGCGCCCCCTATGGGCCGGCCGCCACTGCTGATTTGGTCACTGCACAAGATGGCTTAGCATCAGGCATTATTTCAGGAAAGGACGTTTCAGATGGTGTGCCACAGCAATTAGGCTGATGGGCTGTTTGAAGTGTGACTCTTTGTTGAAGTACCCTTGACGGAAGTTGTGCGAAATGCTGAGGACAATTCAGCCAGCTGTTAGAGTATCATCAGTGACTTAAGTGAAATCTCAAGCTGCAGCACAGCTGTTCAGGAACCAAGGCAGCCATACAGTAACATCAGCTCTCACAGGTTTCTGACGAACCTCTAACATGACATGTTTAATAGTCTGGGCTGTTCAGATTATCACTGAGTTGAAATCCCTTATAAAAAATGTCTTCAAATTTTTTTAACTTACCATGACAAACCAGCAACATCCTACACATTAAATAGTTTACTTAATATACTTGATAGAAATTAATATGTTACATCAAAAAAGTTTTAAACAGATCAGTGCATATAAGTATAAAAATGCAAAGTGCAAATGCAAAGCGTTAACAGCAATATTAACTGCTCATGACTGTAAGATTAATCAGGCTGATTTGTTCTGCTTTGGTGCCACTAACTTGATGGCAATACATCTGAATAGTTTATTAAGAGTGCGTAAGGAGTCTTTTACAGGGTTCAAGAGGATTAGACTGCCTATCATAAAAACGTCATCACTACTAATATGCAAATTTTTAATGTGGAAAAAAAGTTATTTAGAATGTAGTTTTTTAATTTTATTTCTTAACTGTCAAAAACTGGGGCAAATGAAAATATAAAATGATTACTGAGCTGACATTTAAATAGTTTTAGTGAAATAAACATGAATGTGGAGCCTTTCCTAAACTGACATTTTCCAAATAATGCCAGACTGGTGCTCCATAATGCAAAGATGGTGAAAGCTTGGAGCAACTTTGGTGTACACATCATACCTGCCTGTTATCTGCTATTTGTTGCACTCTTGCTGTAAGATTCTCCTGTCAGTGCAATCTGTAGCATTTACTGTTATCAACAGATTATGATTTTACGCTTCTATATTCCAATCATTGACCAGGGCAGATGATGCTTAACATCTGGTCACCTTTCCTTGCATCTCAAGTGGTTTTTAGTTTTATCAAAGGTATATAGACTGGGTCCTTTTTTAGCAAACATCTACAGATGTCATTCAAAGTTCTGAGTTAAAAAGTAACACTGCTAAATTAATTTTTCATTATTTTATTTCATTTATAGCTTTTGTGTTTGTACAAATGGGCACGGACACTTAAAACCAGTCTAGTATAGTTTGCACTCCAGTGAAATTCAATATTGATCCAAGTGGGTGTCGAAAATGACTTTGGCATCAGTTTTCTCTGTGTTGCAAATTCTGGCTTGTTTCACACTTTATAAAGCCAGCCATGGTTGGCGCTGGGCTGAAGAATATTTGGATTTGCTGTTGTTTGTCAGCAGTTGACAAGAAAGAGTCTGCAGCCTTTCACCATTTCACTCTACAAAATTGTGAACACAAGCTGGCAGGCCACATGGTTTGTGGAAGAGTTACAACATCAAGCATTAGCAAGATGGAAACATCCGGCATGTGGCATTTTCTCTGCTCCAGTTTGGATTGCATGATTTACCAAAAACAGTTTTATCCTTTGAATGGAAAATCAACAAATTTCAAGATTTTTACTGAGGAGGAAAGGGTTCCAATGAAGAAAGTCATGCACACTGAATATATTCCTGTCAGTATTTCAGTTGCCCTAATGCAGGGAAAAACATGGCACCTCTTTTATAGCAAAGGTCACCTTAACACCTGCTTTTTATTGTTGTTACAATGAACATAAATGCCATATCCATACCTACCTGGGAGCCTTACACTGTGTGAAAAATAAGACCCAATAAATCTGAAGACAGCAGTAAGTCAAAAGACAAAAATGTTTATTTTTAATTATGCTCTACATAGAATGCACATTAGGTAAATACATTTAGGTAAGTTTACCTTCTTAAAGGTGCAACGAAAAGCATAATCTCTGGTCATTCCAACCTTTCTTTACATTTCAAAAAGCAAAAACAGAACATAAAATTCAGTCAAAATGATTCACATGCCTGGATTCGAATGTCCAGAGTGATCTTTTAAATGTTTCTTTTCCTGGATGTACACTGCAAAAAATGGAAATCTAAATAAGTCATTTTTGCTCAAATTAAGTGCATTTTTTCTTGAATTGAGGAGGTAAGTGAGGCACTTTGCCAATGGAACAAGAAAATTTACATTTAAAATAAGAAAAAAACTATTGCTTTGTCTTATTTCAAGTGTATATTATCTAATTATCTTATTTTAGGAGTAAAAATACTAATTCCATTGGCAGATCATCTTATTTACCTGCTCAAATTAAGGGTAAATACATTTAATTTAAGACATTTTTTACTTATTTCTAGATGTTTTTTGCAGTGTAATCTTAGACCTTAATCCTCAGAAAGTTTGCAAGTCTTAAAACAAGCTAGTTTGTACCCACAAAGCAGAAGTAATTTGGGCTTGCAATTCAGCAGATGTGCTAACCTTTTTCTATGTGTGTTGGTTCATCAATATGAAGATAATATTGTAATGACCAAATTGATATATTCCACTGACAATCAACAGACAAAGATCTTTCTCGCTCTTTCCACATTTATTTCCTTTAGAACCTGTTCTGTTTTTTTTTTTTTTGACATCCTCTCTAAAACTGCCAGTATCACATACAATACAATCACATGTGCACTTATATAAAATTAAATAATAATAAGAGTGTCAACTTCACATCAACCAACGTCTAGATGCTGTAAATGTTAACAGTACTTATTCTAACATTTTTCAATTAATTTATTTCTTTTTTTTTTGTAGTTAATGACACGGAGGAAGTTGGGGCCCTACAGGCTGTTGACATAAACAACCCTGACACCACTAAATGGATCTTGCGTGAGTTAGAGCCTCTGAGCAAATACAAGTTCTATCTCCGCTCCTGCACCGCAGTTGGCTGTGGGCCTGTCGTCAGTGAGGAGAGCATCACCAAGCTGCAATCAAGTGAGTGACAGGCGGTGGGTGCTGGGGGTCTAGACCGGCAGCTTATCCCAGACTGTGTTTCTACTAAGGTTAACAAGTGAACAGTGTGCGAAAATGCACAGACTGCGGGTCTGCGGGTTGACTAACGTTGCACAGACAACGTTAGTCTAGTAAATGAGGGTCTGTTCAGAAAACTACTTTTGAGTAGATTCCCATGTCAGTAAAGAACCATCTGGCTTTCTGTAAAATTTAAAACAAAGGTTTAAATTTCTGGGAAATTATTGTGAGCCAGCATGTGTTCGTGTTATCGTTTTTGAATGCGTACTTCACTTCGGAAAATTGATTTTACTTTAGTGTCTGTAAATGAAGTGCAGTGGTGAAAATCACTGCATACAGTTTTTTTTTCTTTGTTGTTCTTTTTCATTTTTTGTGTTTTTTTTTTTTTTTTTTTTTTTTACCTAACTGCAAGACCAATATATTGGCTGTACTGGAGCTCATTATGCAAAGATTACTTGGTGTTTAAAGATGAAATCCTCATAATCACAGAAAGACACTTAATTGGCTATGGTTTATTTTCAAGCTTAAAAGCCAGTGAAAATGATTACAAGGAGAATGACTCATTTTTATATAGTTACTTATAATTTCACTGGGCGGCTTTATGTGTGGTGGAGAGACAGAAAGCTATTTGAGGGTGCTCTGCTTTCAGTCACCAAACATGTCAGTGTTGTTTCTGCTAATGGCCCTCTGTCTGTACTCTTACATGCCACTAAATTGTGCATTGCTTTCTGATTTTGCTTTGATCATTCAGTGTGTGTTGTAAATTTGTATGTGAATGTCGTACATCTGCTCAGCCATGCAATGTTTGTGTGCTCTTCCTTTCATTTTGTTCTCATATTGTTTTCCTCTTTCAGCATCTTTTTCGGCCCCTACTGTTGGCATCAGTATGTAGATCTGTTTATCCAGAAATCGGGACATCATACCAACATGCATACTATAACTTTCTTTACTTTTTTGCAAATATGTATTATAATGTTTGGATGCTCTTTTCATGTTGTAATATTTAATTGGGGCTTTAGTGATAAGCTAACGCATAGTAGAACAAAATTGAACTCATGGAGTTAAAAGTCTTTTGTTTTTTTAACTCTGAAGAGCGTGGCATGCATTTCTATTTAGCCTATCTTAGCCAAAATATACTGAACAATTTTTGGCTCATACTGTACATGCAGGCTATTTGGGGTATGTTTCTTTTCCATCAAAAGATTTATTTTTCCAATTTGTTGATTTATGTAGTTATTTATTTTTGGAATGGCTCTGGTACTGTCAGATTTGAATGAGAGCAGCATGATGAACAGCAGTTTTTTAAGTCTTGCCACAGATTCTCTGTTGGATTTGGGTCTTTGGCTTTGTCCATTGTTACACATAAACAAACTAAATCAGTGCTTTACAAACTCAATGCTTGGGACACACGATACTGCTCCAGCACACCTCTTACAAATCTTTTCATTCCATCCTCAGCACTATTAAACGCTGCAGAGGTCTGATTATTAGAGTAAAGGGAAGAGAATAGAATATAATATAATAGAAAAATCCCTTTATTGTCCCACTATGGAGAAATTCTGGTGTTAGAGCAGCAAAACATTATAGAAACAAAATGGTCTCACAAATGTGGATCTTAGAAAAGTGTATAAAAATAACAGGAGGGGGATCTTTATGAATGCCACACTTTTCAGACTTAAATCTGTAAAAGCGTATTTCACAATTGTCTTCTAATTTGTTTTGCTCTAAAAAAAAATTCCAATGAAATTAATTTGTAGTTTTAATAGGAAAAAAATAGAAAAATGTGAAGCCCTGAATACCTTTGCTCGGTATTAAATGCTTATGAACATGTTGCATGTTGGTATGAGTTGTCCTATAATTTAGATGCATTAGATACAGTAGCAGTTGCATGTTTTAGATGTAGGTGGGCAGACATCAGTGCTTGCTGTGGGCCTCAGTTTCAATCAAAAGGAAACATCCTATTGGTCCTTTATAGCAGTCTGAAATTACAGCTCGTCTGCAGATAATTGACCCTGTCTGCTGCTTGCTCTCGCCATCAGCAGAGAGCACTCGATGCCTCCTTTCATTAGAAAAATGTCAACTTCCTCTCAGTTAAAGTTTGTGGCTTCCCCTATGATAACAGCAGTAATGAGTAAGCTAATTGTAAACTCATATTAATTTCCCCTTATTAGCACCTGTAAACAAAAGTAGACTTTAATCTAGCAACAGCAATCTCCATGCTTCATGTCACAGTGGTAGCTATGGTAATAAATCATCCTTTAAGAACTACTTGTTGTTTAAAATAAATGTGTAGTTTTGTAGTATTTGTAGATGTATAGCCACTAGCTTTGCCTCTTATAACCAAAAGATTTGTTTGTCTTTTAGGAAAGTCCCTTTCAACCACGAGCACTCCAAGGTCACATGTAACCAAACCCACTCGTTCGAGCATAGGTATAGCAGCAGACCTTTTTGATACAAACGGCAAGGAAACTATTATAGCTACTGCCAGACCGTTTTGTCAAACCAAACACTTTAAATGTGGTTTAAACCTTAAAGGACTAAATGTCATAAACAGTGTTTCCATATGGTTTATAAAACAATGTTTAAATCTAAAATCTACCCTTCCCCTCTAGAAATGCTTTTACATGAACATGTCTTTCATTACATCACATATGTTATAAAGCAAGTGGTATTATTATCCCTGATTCACAAATGCATGTGTTTGATACAATTCCCCCTTCAAGGCATTTAGTAGTGTGTTTATGTCTGCAGCAAAACATGTGAGAATGCAATCTGTAAAAAAAATAATCTAGCCGACATTATTGAATTTGGTGTGAAAGAAGTGACGACATGATGCTCTCTGACAATACTACCTGCTTTTTATGGCAACATACAGTAGCACCAATGTTATTAGTGGACATTGGTCTAAAAACTATAAAAATGTGTGTTTCTATCAGTGTGTTTTTTTTTTATTTTGACGCCCCCCCCCCCCCCCCCCCCCCCCCCTCCAAGAAAGTAAAACGTAATGGTAACATTTGACCATTTTCACAGGTAATAGAGCTAAATGCATGTCTGAGGTATTGGAAGAGGACTCCGTTCTTAGAGCAACATAAGTAGAAGTTAACATTTTTTTTTATTATTTTATTACTGTTAGAGTAGTTTAATATCTTTGCCATACAACAGGGAACTCTAGGACATACGATCTATATCCTTTTTCACTAGTGTGTCTGCAGAGAGCAGTCACTTGAACAGGACAAATATGTCTAATTGTAATTGATTGATTTGTTTTGCCCTGGCCCCACCTTTACACGGCTATATATTGACCCAGCAGCCACCTGAGATTTCCATGTAATCTTCAACTGGGTAAACAGCCACAAAAGAAAAGAAAAAAAAAGAAAAGATGTGTGCAGCCATATTAAAAGAGAGGAAGCATGGAGGACATTCTTCCAGGCCATGCCAGGACTAAGGTACTGTGTGAGCTAATGTTGGGAGGGTGATATTTCAACAGCCCTAAGTGGATAAGTGGAAGCTGATGAAAGCACCTGTATCAGAGTATTTCCTAGCATTGCCTTTTACCAAGAGGATTCTGACTTTGAAGGGGCGTCTTCCAGAGCTCAGGCTCCCTGCTGGCTGAGCTGCTGCTCTGTGCAGCGTTTAATTGCAGGCTGAGGAAAGAGAAGACAAAAACACAGCAATGTGCGCTGCAGTATTTTTAGTCCAGAGCCCTTGCAAGTTGAAGTCTCAGACAGATGCAGTGACTTGAATTACCATAGCTACACTCTAATCCATCTGCATTACCAGGAGAGTGTCATGTTGTGTTAGGGATGGACAGGCTTGGCACAGGTGTGTTTGTGAACTGAATTATCACCCGAACAAATAAGGCACCTGAGCTGGAGACAGAGGGGAAGATTTGCATATTTGTCTTATTGGGAAGAGTTGGTTCGTGCTTTGTTGACCAGCTTAGAAATCTGCTGTTAAAGCACCTGTTTTTCAACCTAACATACATTACTCCCCCGCATTAGCTGTTATCCAATTAAAAGAATAGAACACTTCATAGACCTTTGGAGGAAGGTTTAACTACTAACAAATCATTATCGCTCCTTGAAATATACATTATAATTAGCGCCGCATTCATGATACTAATTTGAGGTATCTTTAGCACCTATTTGTATTTTCAATATTAATATCAGACATAAAGATGGAGTCAAATAAAATTAAAATTACCTGAATTCAGTTAAATAGTTCAATAACCCCTCTTGTAGTATACAGTTAAAAAGTAAGCTAAATGCATGTCTAAGATTTGGATGGTTGAAATTTAGTTTGTCAAAAAAATATATATATTACATAGTTGAATGCGTTTCAAAGAGACATGATTTACAGAGGTGGTCTGTTTACACAGTGCTTTGCCATGGCAGAAATACTCTTTACAGATTTTTCCCCCCATATTTTGTAAACCTAAAAACCCAAGAAAAAAAACACTGTAAAACAAGGCATATGTGGGTTTAAAAGGCATTAAATGTCACTAAAGGTGACATTTGGCACTAAAGTTCAACAGCGCATCGGAAGGCATTGGGTGATAAACCTTCACCATCCTTATCACGTTATATTAACAATAAGTTGAGCAAAAAACAATAACATGCCCTGGATTAAACCATCTGGTGTTAATAAGTGCTACAATCCAACTTTTATCAGTGCTGCATTCTGCTTTCTAAGAATGATTATCATTAACATATAGGGCAGATATTCAGCTGTTGAAATGTCTTGACAATACAAGCCGCATTTATTTGGCAAATTAAAATAAGATGGATAGAGGATAGTCAATAAATTCACTAATCCAAAAAATATGTAGTAAAAATATCATTTTTCTTTTTTTAGGTTTTTTAGGTTTTTTTAAAAAGCATTCTCAGATACATGTCTTTGAACCAAAACTCCTGAACACTTAAATTGAATGAATGATTCATCTGCTTTACCCTTTATTAACAATTACTTTCTATTCTCTCATTCCCTTCATTGTGTCTCATTATTCCTATAGTCCAAGCCCTGTTGAATGTCACCTCAGTTGTTAACAGCAGCTTTGTAAATATCAGCTGGATACCTGGAGGACAGCACAAAGAATTTTATGTTGCATATATGAACAACCGTAAGCCCTTTGGATCTCTTTCTGCCCCAGTTTGTGGTTGCTCTAGAGTAGCAGTAATACAATCCACAGTGCCTTGAAAAAGTATGCAGTAAACTTGTCATTGAAGGGCTTTACAGTTTTCTTTTCTTTCACACACAAATCTCAAATTTTCTGTGTGATTAAACAGAACAAAGCAGTGCATGGTGAAGTGAAAAGAAAAGGACACATTATTAAAAAAAAAAAATCTGGAGAGTGTGGTGTGTACTTGTTAGGGTGTAACCATCCACTTTCTCTGCTTCATTTACCCAGAAATATTCAGACTATGAATTAAATATTGTTATTTCAGCTGTTAAAAAAAAAAAAAACATATTCAGGATACAATGATGTAATCAATGTGGGCTTAAAGTGCAGACCCTCAGATGTAATTTGAGAGCACTCACACAAGGTAACATTGGGCTCTTCCCTTGTTAACCTGCCATCAATGAAGGAGATAAAATGTCTGGATTGATTCCAGGAGTAGCTTTTGCATTTGAAAGCTGTTTCTGTGAGCCTATAACATGGGGTCAAAGAACTTCTCAATGGAGGTATAACAGATCATCCTGAGGATGAAAACAAAAGAATTTCATCAGTTAGCAGAAATGTTAGGAGTGGTCAAATCAGCAGTTTGGTACATTCGTGAAAAAAAGATTGCACTGGTGAGCTTGAGAACTTAAAAAAATTGGAGTAAATACAAAAGGTACACCACAACTTGCAAACATATTTATCAGCCTAAAACTTAGAAAGGCCAGAACTGGCTTTACCAAAAACAGCCGAAAAACAGCCGTTCCAGCCCAGTTCTGGAACAGTATTGTTTGGACAAGTGATACTTAGATTTCATTATTCAAGAATAATGGGAAGGTTTGGAGAACGATTGGAACAACTCATGATCCAAAGCACACTGCATCTTCTGCAAAAAATGATGGAGGCTATATGATGGCATGGCCACTCATGACTTCCAATGGAACTGGATCATATATCTTTATTGATGATTTGATAAAAGATAGAAGCGGCTAGTTCAATTCTGAGGGATATACTCTCAATTCCAAGAAATATTTTTCTATAGGAATATACTTTCTGCTCAGGTTGAGCCAAATGCAGGGAAGTTATTTGAACTGTGCTTCAAAGTACAGATAGACAATGATACAAACGTACTGTAAGAGCAACCCAGGAGTTTTTTAAATCAAAGAAGGGTAATATTCTGCAACTGCTGAGTCAATCAACATATCTCAACTCAATTAAGCATGGATTTCCCTTGCTCAAGACAAAACATATAGCATAAATACTCACAAACAGGCAACAATTGAAAACTGCTGCAGTAAAGGCCTAGCATACTATAGTATCACAAAGGAGGAAACCCATCCTTAAGTGATGTCTATTTGTCATAAATCAGCTAAGTCGATCTATGATTCATGTTTTATGATAGAGAGAAATTAAAGGTCTGAGAGAATGTAATCTGGCTTTAATCCTTCACCTCACAGTCTGTGTTGCCATGTTTTCCCTTCCAAAACCTGTGTACGCATGGGTCAGAGTTGGCCTGAAGAGACCACATGTTTATATACCAAGTTTATTTTTGATAGATGCCAACCTTTGTGTGGAAAGTGGCAATACAAATTGTGAGGCCCCTTTTTGTGCCTACACAAGGCTCTAACCCAGACCCCAGATCAAAATCTAAACATTTTATATAAATCTGATTTGATAGGCTTACCACAGTTTTTTGGTTAATATTTGGAAAACTTCACCCTGATGCACTACTTGTTTGGTCTATCATATGTAATCTCTATTAAATATCTTGAGATATGCTGTTTTAAAAGTACAAAATTATTGTTAAATACTTTCTACTTTTGCAAAGCACTGTAGGATATATTGTGCCTTTTAAGTAATTACTGCATTAGATAGCACTAACTATGAGTTTTGACGAGTGCTGACTCTTTACAATGGTTCCCCCTGTGCACAGGTGAGGGTCACTGGAAGATATCAGAGACCTTAAACACCTCTATGATTTTTCACATCATTGACGGGCTTGAACCTGAGACTGATTACACTGTGCGCCTGATTCCTAACAGATGGCTTGATAATTCTAGTATATTTGAAGATGTTATCACGACCGGGTCTACAGGTGAGAAGGGTCTCTCAGACATAAAGGAACAGAAAAGTTATTGACCTCTTGATTAGAATACAGAGCCGTGTCCTTGAGTTCTGCCTTATGCCACGACGTGGCAGTCCTTCATGCTGTCCATAGAATTTAATTTAGCTCACCAAGAGGAATTACATTTGTCCAACGTTCCTTGCTTGATTAATTAGACAAGCAAGATTAGCTGTTTAATATTAATACTGGACCATTTCCATCAGCATTTCAGCCTGCCACTTTCTACCCGAGCATCAGATAAGATTTGTCGATGCAAACATTCAATCAAGTGTCCTGATGAAAAGGCCAAGCCGAGTCAAAGTCATGGGCCATTGTTCTCCACAGGTCTGGCTAGCATCCACGGAGGAATATCCACCCAGGGCTGGTTTATTGGTCTGATGTGTGCCATCGCTCTTCTCACACTCATTGTGCTGATCGCCTGCTTTGTCAATAGAAATAAAGGAGGAAAGTACTCTGGTAGGTGTAAACACACACACACACACACACACACACGTTGTATCATCCTTTCCTTGTAGGGACTTTCCATTGACTTCCATTCATTTCCCACTCATTTCTTATCTTAACCATTACCAACACATACCTAATCCTAAATCTGGTATAAACTCAATTCACACCTTTGTTCTTATTCTGACACCCACCCGAAAAGAGAACCTACGTAAGTCCCCAGAAGTGCCTATAAATCCCCAAAATGTAGCTTATTCCTGGGAAATCATCCCCAGGATTTATTAAAAACATGGCCATAAACACATACACACATAGATCTCCATGTTTGAATACTAATTGTTGCCTAAAGTATCATTTTTATTCCATATTGTTTGTTCATGTGAAAGGAGTGATCAGTCATTCAAGAAGACACTGTAGGAATGTGTATTTCTAGACAGCAAAACTATTTTAATGCAAATATTGACATAATAGAGTGCTGTGCTGTTGAAAGAATGAACATTTCCCTGCATGTCTCTCATTTTAATTTTTTGCATGGCTTGCATAGGGGGTTTAAGCTTCAACAAACAATCAAAACAAAGAGACAAATGCAAATCTTGTGGACAAGGTTACTTCAAGAAGAGTGATGACATGAGCTCAGTGCTATCCGAGTTTGCTGTTCATCTCATTGCAGAATTAGGAGCCCTTATCAACATAATTTTTCACAACTAATAACTTAGAGGTTGCTGCTACTTTGCTCGTAAAGGCGGAAAAAAGCTAAAATGTGTTTCTCATTTTAGCCCTCATTATCACTGACTTCTATTAGCCGATTTTGATATGGTTCACCTGTCTCCCTTTTTAGTCTACTATGCCACTGGGAACGCCACAGCTGTAAATGGGTCCACCATTCTCTTTTACAGTCAAAACTCATTAAAAAAATGACACCAAATTATATATATATATATATATATATATATATATATATATATATATATATATATATATATATTCACTTTCGTTTGACAGACAGACGGACAGACAGACAGGTGCATTAAAAAGAAAATGTTTTTTGATGAATGATGTTTATCAGAGGGTGTGAGTGTGTATGGTGTTTGCAGTGTGTAAATAACATTTAGTAAAGAAAACAAAATGTTATGAATTATGAAGTGTTAAAACTTTTTCTAAAATGCTCTCATTGATGTTTCAAGTAGAGAAATTACTTATTATTGTTCAAAGAGCAGTCAAGGGACCCATTCAACTTCAGCAGAAGGGATCTCTAGTAGAAATCTCTCATCATGTTTCATCAATTTGTGTGCAGTGAAAGAAAAAGAAGACCTTCATCCAGACGTGGAATCCCAGGGCATGAATGATGACACATTCTGTGAATATAGGTAAGTGCCCCCCCTCCCCATGAGAAGAACGTTCCACCACCTCACCACATCCCTGTGAATGTCAGCTGGTCTTTTTCCATCTTCTCTTCACAATAATTCTCTTTGCCTTCTTGCCTTCCCTAAAAAGGCGCCCCAGATTCCACGAGGTTCCCATGGAGCCTCGCACCTGTCCTGCCGAAGACATTTGACGGACTGAGTAACTGTGAAGTATGTGATAAACGGCAAGAGTGAAATGGCTGTTTACACATCGGCTTCATCAAAATAGTTGCCCTTAGATTTGGTGTTGTGTTGGTGTGTTGTGAAAGCTCAGAGAGCTGATAGGGAGCCACTGTTCTGCTCTGATGTTTCTAATTTAAAGAAGCTAAAATCTGGCTGCCAAGAACCCCGCAGAAGCCTAAAATAATGTAATTGATTGCGCCTCATCTCCTGGACAGTAATGTCACTGTTTGTTGCATTGATCCTTTAGTGTTGTTATTCATTATTGTCTAATTCTCCCATCAGTGGGGTCTACATATCATATAGCCTGATATACCAGACTAAATGTGAGATTAAATGTGTCATTTAGTCAGGCCCCGATGAATGAGACATCGGAGATTGTTGATGAGAACAACCCGTTGTTTTTCAAACCTCTGTCTGTACCTTTTAGCCAACACTCTGACCAATGAGCGCAACTGACTGACGACGGTAGTGCATCAGAAAGCTGGTGGGGGAGTGTAAACAAACAACCTCTCGGTAAAACAGCGAATACATCCTTCTTCAAAATTAATGAGCGTAGAGCCTCTTCCTGCTCACGTCAAGTCTCATCCTTCCAAAACTGATTCCAAAGCCGAGTCAAATGAGAAATGTTTAAGAGTTGTTGCCATCTTCCTTGTTGTGCTTTCTCCAGCGTCGCCCAGCTTTGTCATCATGCCCTCAAAACCCCGCCCGCTTTGCATCCAGAAATTCAAAACACATATCTGCGTTGTGATTGGCCTGCCAGTTCTAGGGCGTGGGGGATTGATCAAGGACAGACCAGTCGCAGGCAAAAATGATTTTGGCCGCTGGCGGGTGGGGCTAATTTACTAGGCTACATATCACAACAAATTCTGATGTGATGAAGTTAAAGTTGATCAGCGTGTCAGCATTTATCTTTATTCATATTCACTTCAGAAGCCCGTTGACCTGCATTTTAAATGGTTGGCATCACCTACTATTTGCATCAAATGGATAATTTGCAGTCAGTATTTAAAGCTTTGATGTTTCAAGTGATTAATACATAATTTTACCATTAAAAGATTTTAAACTTAAAAAGAAAAAACTTAAGATAAAACTCTTTCAAATAATTAGTAGTTCAGTAACCTGAACTAGTTTAAGTCTTATCATAATAAGTTTATAGAAAAGTCAAGGAGTCCAAATATTTATTGAAGGGCAAAAGAGGTGTGGATTGTTACAGCTACATCTAGTTGATACAGTTTACACTAGAAGGCTTTTTTTACACTGAATGCAGTCATGTATTTGTAGACATTAAACTAGTAGCTTTAGCTCTCTGTGGATTCATTAATTTTTCTAGAACGTCACTGTGGTGTGACAACTTATAAAGATACACAAATTCTGAAATAACCGCTGACTAAGTTCAGCATTTTTTTTGATTTTCTGAAAAACAGATTTATACTTCTCTTTAAAATTGGCTGCAGTCACTTAGCTTTGCATAGATTATAATGGCATGAAAAGAGGTTAGGGTTGTAATTTATATGGAGTTTGCAAACTCTACTGTAGATGTAACTTTGTGTTATTATTATTTAATACTGTTGACAATGTCAGTATTGATATGGTAGTTGTATATCAAGGTATGGCTCCTTAGACATGTATAAAATCCATCCTGAAGTTAATTTCATTTTTTTTGACTATGAAATTATATCTACCAAAATCCTGTTTATAATCCTTACTTTCCTTACTTTAGCATAAAATGTTGTGCTATAACCACTGTTAGAATTTGCACATTACCTCATGATATGATAAAAAGTGCATTTAGTACTCTTTATTTTGCCAGACGTCAAAAAGGTTTATTTCATAATAAAGACAGAAAGTTGGAAGGTCCCACCCTGTAACTAAAAAAACATAATTAGCTAGATATTTTTTTAGATCAATTAGAACTTTGAATTTCTGTATGTTTGGCAATATTAGTCAGTTATAATACAGAGAAAAAGAGATTAAACATCAACAAAGGTTTGTGGATTGTATGTTATCAGCAGCTACCAAGTACAGATTGTAAACTGAAATCAGACATACAATATGGTCTAAGTATTGAGTATGGGATTTCATTGCATATAAGTCATCCAAATATATTCAACCATCCGATGGCAGAAAAAGGCTTAAAACAGATTTCGTGGTATGTGTTTAACCACACGCACTGTGCAAACAAGGGAATTCCTCTACTTCTATCATACATCATACATCGTGACCTCTGAACTTTTGAACCATGTGGTTTTGTCGTACAGTTTGAGCTATAGTCGAGTACAAAGATTTAATATACCCTACAGTGTATTCCCACCCTTAGTGGTGAAACCAATGGCCCTACCTTGTAGCCAATCAGATACATTGTGCTCTCTTTTTTATCTCAACTCTTCAAACCCTGGCCAAGTAGTTTTTAAATGGATCTGGTACCAAGTAACAATTCAAGGCGGATTACACCATTACATCTGTTTTAAAACTTAGCAGCTAAACAAGGGGATGGTAATGAAATGTTCTTGGGTTCATTGCTTCGTCAGGACAGGTATGACTTTCTGTAATAAATAGAACCCTGTAATCTTAAGTCTAGCAGAAACTCCAGGAGGAGAACATGCCACCAGCTTAGAAAAGGTAGCTCAGGCAGGTATTTGTTAGAAAGCGGGAAAATAATCCATTCTTTGCTTAAAGCAAAATGAAATTCTAGGTGAGAACTAGTCACTATCTGGACTTCATAGCAAACTGTTGTAGTATAGGATGTTGTCGTTAAACTTTTCTAGACAGGGCCAGGTTGATTTCTACAGCTTTCTGGGTTTTCTCTGGTCATCTTTGTCTGATATGAAACTGTGTTTGACATGATTTAAGATGCAATAAGAGACTAAAACTGGAAGGGAGCTCCTTTTCAAAAATCTTTCCTATTCACAGCGTTATTTAATATTGTTCAGCTGGTGTTCCTGCTGGGTTAAGCAAGTAATGTTTTCTTTTAGCATTAAACATTTTATTCACCTGTTTGTTGCTTTGTGCATAAATATTCTCAATAAGAAGTTTCAATATTTAGTTAAGCTAACATAATATTACATAGAACATTCTATGTAATACTCTCACTGGTAAAATGCATCAGAGGATGACAGCATGAACAAGCTATCATCAGCCCTATCCCTGTACATGATACCCCGTCACCCCGCCATGGCTAAATTTTTATCCTTTGTCAAAAGCATCAATGCACGTTAAAATTGGATGTTACTTCGTCTCACCTGTGTGATTACTTCCCATTGGTTTGCCCATGGTAGAAGCTGGTGTCGATCACTGAAACTCTTTGTGGAGGAAGTGATAGCTCCTACCTGCCCTCCATCTTCTCCTCTAGTCCATAGAGTAAAATCAAAGGTGTAAGGGTTGGAATTCTAAATTCATTGTGCCTCTCCCATAGCGACAACGACGAGAAGCCACTGAAGGGCAGCCAACGCTCCCTTAGCAGGGAGATCAAAGCAGCAGACAGCGGCGACAGCCTGGTGGACTACGGTGATGAGGACGTTCAGTTCAACGAAGACGGCTCATTTATCGGCGAGTATGGAAGCCGGAAGGAGAAGAGGGCATCCACTGAGATCAAAGCCCCGACTCAGACCACGGCGTGAGGAGCAGATGAGCATATCATCACATTGACTCCATTCCACCTTCTGGAGAAGCCACATATGGAGGAGCACAACGACTTTATCAAATAAGAAACCACTTGTGTCATAAACAGTCATTGCCAACAGCACACTGCCACTCTCATTCTTTAAAGCTCTGTTCTTTCATGTTGCAACACGAGCATTACTAAATATCATGTATATATAGTGTATATTGTATGTGCTAAGTGTTCCTTTTTTTTATAATTATCACAAAAACTTTAGAGGTCGTGATTTGTTTTGTATTATTTCACCTCCATATTGGTGTTTTGAGCTGCACCCTGATTTGTACAAATGGTAAACTCTCCATTGCTTTCCTCATCATGAAATGAATTTCTGCCACTGATGTCACTGTGTAGCAGGCCACAGATGAGTTGGTATTTTTCAAGTGGAGAACTTATTACTGACCTTTTATATTTGAAACTATTCATTAAATATAATGTAAGCTGTGTAAAAAGTTTCCTATTAACTTATTTTTCTCAGTGGTTTTATACCTTATGAAATAATGTGAAAATATTTGTACCGCCGCAAGTATCCTGAGTCATGAGTCTAAATCAGAAGCATCAAATATTTTTTGTAAGATGATCACTGATTTTTATTTTTTTCAGGTAAGATTTTAGACATGTAAGTTTACAAGGGAACTCTTGGCCTGAGCCCAGTTTGCTCAGGATTTTAAGGCAGCCAGTTCCAACTCAAGCAAACAATGTTCAAAGCTACAGTGAGTGGTTATTTAGTTTAACCTCTTGTTAAGACTGAAATGATAGTCTGAGGATATAGTCAGTCAAAAGAAAAGCCTGTATGCGTCTGTAATTAAATTTTTTTTTAAATGTATAAATCCCTTTACTGTCCCCCATCCCATTGGGGTGCAGTGGGCTGCCATTGTGTGGTGCCTGGGGTTAAGGTTTCTGCTTAGGAACCAGGAGGACAGGCTGTGGGGCTCAAACCAGGTACTGGCAACTTTTTTAGAGCACAAGTGCACTGTTCTAACCACTAGGCCAACTCTCCCACAGAACTGTATGTCACACCTGAAGTCTGCGTGTGTTTACTACATGTCTTCTGATCTGAAAGGTGCACTTACAGACATTCAACACTGTTAGCATAACCTAAAATATTTCACTTCCAATGTCAGTGAGTTGAAAAAATATTTCTATCCCTAAATTCGTTCATCTTTTATGCTGTTCAACCACCAACCTTAGTATGACCAAGTGGTAGTTTATGTAATAGATGTTAACAAAATGAGAAAAAGGTCTATATTTTTCAAAAATTATTACAAATAAAAATCTAACATGTAGAATGCACCTGCATTCTCGATGCTATAGAATCTTTTTCGGGCCTCAATCATTTGTAGAGTCCAACTGGTCTTCTTTCAGGATTACCAACTATTAAGACCTAACCATCTTCCCATCTTCACCGACATGGTTTTCATATGGAAAATTATATAAATAGGGCATATTGTGCAACTTTTTGTATCTGGGTCGAAATAAGCTGATGGTAGTGTGTTTAAGGTACCACACGGATGGTAAAATCCTGGCAGGTTGGCAGCTGCTCCATAGTCAAAATATTTTCCGTAATTGACCCAACAGAGAACAGTAAGATTTTCATAAGTCTCCCCACAGCACTTTCCTGGCCTGTCTGCTGTGTTTAGGTTTCCATGTCCCTTCAGTAATGTTCATTAACAAACCTTTGAGAGCCTCAGAGAAAAGCTGAATTAAAGGGGTTGAATACATATGCATGCCTTTTTTTCAAATTATGCACATTATTTCTAATGCATTGAAGTTTTCAGATGTAACGTGACAAAAAGGCCAACAGTTACGGGGTTGGCCAATTTTACGGGGAAGTTTATTTGCCTATTTGCAAACACACACACAAACACACACACAGTTTGATGGGATCAAATTGCAAATCTTAAGTGTCAACCTCGTGTCATCAGTGCGTGCAGAAAACTTGAGACTGCTGACTAATTTACAATGTCTGTGGCAACAAATGGAAATGGATCTGATAATTTGCAGCTAATGCATAAAAGACACGTATAAGTATATCTTTACAAGATGTGAAACTTTCCTTGTTAAGTGTTCGTTCGTGCTACATGCTAGGACATTTTAAACAACACATGATAATTCAGAATTTTTTTTCTGCATTTTTTATTCATTCTCCAGTTTTATTTCAACACACACTGGACCAAAAGGTCCTTATAATCTGATAACTTTATCTGGCAGCGTATACTTGACATTCAAAACTTGCAGTAATTTTCATTTAAATGTCCTAACAAGCCTTACACTTCCATGCAAAGCACTGTTTTTCTCTTTTCATATTTCCATTAACAAACATGGACATGGTTTGTAAAGAATCGCCATTGCATGTTACAAATGTCGATTGATATTCTTTTTTATGTCATTAAATTGCTTTACTTTCCTACATTTGTGTTACTCTTCTGTCTGTCTGCTTTCAGTCATCGCTGACCCGAGATCATGAATCTTCCTGAAACCTTCATTGCTATTTGCATTTGCAGGATATTAATACCTCCAGAAACAAGTCTTTGCCCTTTTTCTTGCAAATTGAAATGGAGAAAAAGCAACCACCTCATTCCATCTGAATAAACTGCAGTTTGTTTGACAAGTTATCCCACTGGAAGCATATTTTTCACCAATGTCACATCACAGTGAAGTCTTCATGTTTGTTCACTTTGGCTTCAAAACGGGATAGGAAAAGGACAAAAACAAATAACAGAAGACAAACTAGGCAGGAGCAGAGGTTAAATCAAGGAGCAAAAATTATGTCTGAAGGAAGTGAAGAGTATCAACATGAGAGTTCTGACTGCATGGTTCATGTCTGCTTGAAATACTCCCAGCCTCATTTTGTAAAGGCTAGGACCTAGTAATAAACCCTCTGGAAGTCATTATGAATGGCCTTAACTCTTTATTAAAGCTGTGTCAAGAGCTGAGTGTGTTCCTAAACATGCAGAGTAGCAACTGACACGGGAGTGGATTTTCACTCCTGTCCCGTCCCACTCCCACAGAAAAAAATTGTGTCCCGTCCCGATCCCAGGCCAGAGTAGAAATCTAAATCCTGTCCTATCTCACTCCTGGTGAAATTACTCCCACTCCCATCCCGCTCCCATTCAGAAAAACTCAGAGCGCAAGCACTGTTGGTTTTTGGGTCGTGTAGTTTTTTTGACTCGCATTATAGTGTAGGCTTCAAGGAAAAAAACTACAAAATGGCGGCGCCGCGCCAGTACTGGATTTTTTTTCTTTCTTTTTTATTTTATTTTTTGGCATCAATCCTTGTTTTTTTTATTTTATTATTATTATTGGTTTTCTCCCGCTCCCGTCTGCTCCCGTTAATGTTTAATCCTGTACCGTCCCAATCACGTGATCGTTACTAAAACTGACTCCCATCCCACGGGAATCCCACGGGAATCCCGTGACCCATGGGATTCCCGAAAAAAGGTCAGTCTCTAATGCAGAGGCCTGCCTAATTCTTTGACTCAAAGTCTATTGCTTTCTAGAGAGGAGTTGGATCATTTGAGACAGTAACATTTTTAGGACACAGCTAAGTATCTACAATTTTACACATTTCCTTCTAGATCTACAGAGATTGTGTTGATTTGGAAGGCATCATCGTTCCGAGCTCACTTAGCCAGACTCAAATAGGTCTGTTAAATCTCCAGTCACATTTAACAAGCAATACTCCCATCTGCAAGACCAACAAGACGATGTTTTTGTATGCAGCATTGGGCTTTCATGGACCAGCTGGTAAAAAGTAGGGGGGTTTGTTAATCTCTGCTGCGGTAGAAGCAAAGGCTGCTTTGGATTCATATCAGTTACTACCTGGCAGATTGCTGCAGCGACACTTAGAGAGGAAGGGCCAAAGTTATACAAAGTCATAAAAGAGTTCCTTTTTTTCAAGTAACCATATTCACCATATCTACTTGCAGCACAGCGGTCTTTTGAACCTTGAGTTTAATTAGAGTTTAGGATATACAAAGCCTTAAGCTAATTAGGGAATTGGTAATTATAGGCCCAGCATAGATGATGCCTCGTCATTTTATAGCACCGAAACTTCAATGTAGACTAGTACTGAAGCTGAACAACTCAAAGAAAATTTATTCACCAATGTAGCTATACACTTGGGCCCATATTCGCGACCTCAGCACCATCATGGTCTCACTGACCACTCTGCTGACAGAGAGTTGGTACCTGAGTCATCACTAAAAACAGCTGCATTTTTCCTATAATAAGGTGTTGCAGTTTGTGCTGACCATCATCTCAGGTGTCATGGCATTACTATGCACTGGGTGGGAAACATCAGCTTTTCCTTGATGAGGTAAACCACAACATGAGTTAATCGTTCATTGTGCAAGGATAATTCTCCTTCCTCACTCTGTTTCTACAATTTCTCTGCTTTAGACACTCTTAGGCTTCTCATTTCTGCTTAACACTTAATTCCACTTAGTTCTTTAACAGTTCTAGGCGCTTTATAAAAAAAACTTTTAAAGGGACACTATGCAACATTTTTCAGTTAATTAATGTGTTCCATAACGTTATGGATGATTAAATGAGTCATTTCAGGTTGAACAAAGGTATTCTCGGCCGCCCTGGTGGTTTGTGGGGGAAATACTGCACTTGCAACTGCAGGAGCACCGACCCGCACCCACAGGCTCAGAAGTCTCGTGAGAGTCAGTCTTGCTTTACGGCGAGAATTGCTACACGCCCCCAGTTAAAAGCATTCTCGTTGCTAGCACAGTGGCAATCTTTGTGCAGTTATGCTACGTTCACGCAGCAAAAGCAGCAAAATCGCGTCTGCTGCTTCATTTTTGCTGCTTGTACCAGTTAGTTCTGACGCGCGGCTGAAGCAGCTTCGCTGCTCTGGCTGCAAAAGTGTGTCTGAGGCGCGTTGGGCGGAGCTTCACTATCCTTTCTCTGCCTTGCAGCTATATTTGCTGTGATCAGTGGGAATAAAGTAGTTTTAATATGTTTTTAAGTGAGAAAATACACCTGAAAACGTAATCAGTGCAGTCAGTTCATTCAGATTATTATCCTGCCTTCAATATTTTTTCTGTCGGAGCCGCTCAGACCCCCACATACCAGGGATGGGCCAACAGTATTGATCCCTTCATCAGCAGCGGTTCACCACGGCAGCTGGTAGGTGTTTCTCATCTAAATAATCCAAACTGCATATTCTGCCGGCAGATTTCTGCATTTTAAGTTAATTTAGGCGTCAATAAACTGTTTAAGAGCAGTGATCATCAGCGCTGTGTCTCTCTCCCTGCGTTAAACGCACCCGACGCGCTGCTGCAGCCGCTCAGACGTGCTGCGCCTGCATCTCAAAACGCGCCCCGGGACCTTTTGCTGCGCCTTGACGCGCGTCAACCATTGACTTTGCATGTAAACTCGCTGCTTCTGTCGCGCCAGCTATATCCAGTGTGAACGCAGCGTTAGTCATTCGCTGCTAAGCTCAAAACAACCGCGCCTGGCTTGACGGAGAAACCAGGAGAACAGCTGTGCATATTTACGACAGTGCACTTTTACTTTCGCCCTCTGGAGGGAGCCTCACTGGAAAATCAACACCGGTTGCATAGTGTACCTTTAATCTCTGGGCTGAAATCTAAGACAAATCATAGAATTTAAGTAAGTCTACAATTAAAATAATGACACTAAGAGCTACCTCTAAGGATTTAGAATTATTCTTACAGCCCCTGGTTATACTGTGTTGAATGTGAGTCCTTTCCTTTGCAGTCCCTTCATCTTTCAAGTGATGTCACACATCATCTACAATTTAATTTTTTAGCCAAAATCCTTAGTTTTTTTTCTGACATGGTCATTCACACTATATCAATATGACCCTCATTCCACAGTCCCAAAGCGACCTGCAAAGCAGAAGGACAATGTAGACATCTCTTGAGAGACAGCAGGTGCAAATCAGGGCAACGGCACCTGCCACAGCACCGGAGGAGGTGTCAGACAGCCTGCCACTAATTCTTATGACCTGCCGTGTCACAGGAGTGGTGCCACTGATTTCCATGTCCTGCCACGCTACGGGAGCAGGTGCCAGACTGCCTGCCACTGATTTCAATGACCACAGAGGCACCTGGTAGTGGCACTTCCAGGGGGCAGCTAGATCTACTAGTGACATTGCCTTTTGGTACTTGGAGAGTAGTGGTACTTCCAGTTGCACTTCACTGGCATGCGATTGCCACAAGGTGTCACCAAGCTAGCAGGCCACCTGCAGCACTTCTATTGCGATTTATGGGTAAACTGTTTGCTCTTGATGCCTATTCTACAAAATAATCATATTTCATTTATATTATCTATATTAAAAGCTTGTGGAACTTTTACCAGCTGCCTGTCACAAGGTGTCACATGGCTGGCAGTCCAGCCACCGTAACTATAAGCAGATCCTCCTGCCACAAGGTTTCACTAAGCCGGCAGTCTGTTCTGTATTTACTTTCAATTAATGCGATGGTAAAAAAAAATATTTTTCAAAATGCATTTAGAAAATATAATGTATTTGTAAGCTATTCGTAGTCTATTGGTAGTTATTAATGAACTATACAATTTGACATAGACCTATTATATATCATTTTACCTGTTTCGAAAGACTTACATATATATGTGGCATCCTGTGGCATCTCCATGGCCAGGTACTCTACCGAGTACCAGCATGTTTTTAAGCGTTTTTTTTTTCTGTAACAACTCCCAGTAAACTCTCACACTGCATAATAAGCCAATTTTTTGTGCAGTGAGTCTTTACCATCCTTTCAGCATGTTATCTTCCTACCATGCTATAAGGACATATAGTTTACATTTGATGTAAACAGTCACTTTATATTTTGGGTCTAACACTTCTGATTTAAAAAAAATAATAATAATACCGTCAAATAAATTTACTTATTCATTTATTTATTAAATAATTAATTAATTTATTTATTCACTCAGTAGCTCTATCTTGACACCCTGTTTGCCAATAATCATCAGTGTTTCCCCTAAAACAGTAGATGCCTAAGAAATGTCCCATGCATTCATTCAAACCATGGATTTCTGTCTGTAGTGCATCGGTAAGAAACATTCAGGTTGCTCTATCACTGCACCTCCTCTCTAGATTTGTATTTAGAACATGGAACACCCCAGGCGTGACACAAGTGAGTCAGTGAATAGGTCCTATTTTGGTATTTGCAGCAAATCATGGGGTCACACTCTTAAATATAAGATGTTATTCAGATGATGCCCTTGCAGCAGCGGATATGTTAGAGGTGAAAGACATAAAGTACAGCAGCAAAGGCTTAAGCAGTCCTATATGCCTCAAAGCTTACATATCATGTCACGACCCCAGTCCATTACAATAGCAATTTCAACGGCTCTAGGAAAAAAAAAAGGCTCTATTGTGTGTCTGTACTGCTAATGGAATTCACAGCAGGGGA